GTCATAGTAAATATTGACAAAAAAGACTGACTTTTCTAAGTATAAAATATACTCTAACTTTCGATATATGTTGTGATCTATTTCAGAGTGTCGTTGGTATGAAAAAATCCTTGTCATAGCAAAATCACAGAATAACATAATATGCACCGCCTAGCATTATTCTCTTGTCAGATAAGCAGGCCAAATCTCACATGATAAACATGCATCCAGTTTTGTTCTTGATTATTATGAATATCATTTTATATTACCAACCATCAAGGCTCTTGTGATTCATCCATACACTGATTACGCATTAGTACCAATGTAATTACCTTTCACATCTGTATCTGTTTTTTTTCGTACAGGTGAATGTGTCCTCAGATACAGCCTATTGGGTAAAATATCATATTGTCTGTCATCATTCGATTTATAATATTGGTCCATACGCGTATATGCATTTGAAATGAAAGTGTTCTTTTTTTTCTTTTATTCTAATGTAGAGCGCACAAAACCATCCTATCTTGTATATATGCATGTATTTATCATATGAAGGTAATATTTGATCATCATATGTTCTCTAATCAAATAGCAAAATATGTAACCAAAAACGAAAAAGAAACTAATCATCATTGTCGATAGAATAGATCATTTTTAAGTATTATGTGTCGTCTTTAATCAAACATTATACAATAAAGTATGATACTGTTTAAATCAATTTATCGTCTATCAATTCGTTATTGTATCATACTATGTTTCTTAGTTGCTGCTTTTAGCATTGTTTTTAGTTTAATATTTTTTCGTAAAGACAATGAAGAAAACTTGATTGATTTAAATCAATATGATGATAAAGTTACTTTCTGGAGTAATGATTATCATATTAGGTAAAAAAAGACAAATTTTTCTCGTTTTTTGTTTTGGAAAATAATGTTCTGTTTTTAATTAGTCCAATACATGATTTGAAGCATCTATTAACGCCATTAGGTGTTCGTTTTATTGATAAAAGTCTGTCAGGCTCATGCAGTTTAACAGATTCATGTGCAAAACATCTTCGTATATTATCAGCACATAATGGAATGAATCCAAATAAAGCAATCCGAAAACAATTTTATGAATATTATAAAAATCATCCATTAATGAATCGTGTTGATGCATTTGTTTGTTTCCATCCAGCAGCTATGTGTGAATTGTTTATGCCATTTAATCGTACAATTATTGTTATTGCATCAACACGTTATGAGCTTGGACGATTTTCAACTGACGAATGGAATGAATGGAATAAGAATTTACGTATTATTGCTTCTGATCCTCGGTATGTTTTTGAAAAACAAGACAAGCGAAGTTTCAGTAGTTTTCGACACTATAGGAAACATCCGATAAGAATGCTTTGTGATCTTTTGTTTTTTTGTAAGACTCAAGTTTGCAGACTGAAATGATAAATCATTATTGAATGACAATAGTGTTTAGTGTAACGCAGTTAAATAATAGTTATATATGTCGACTATGTAATTATTTGTCTATCAATTAGTTCGAATGTAATTTAATTGATAAGTTCTAGGATATTTTCTTTTTGTCAAATACATACTGTATGAATTGAAGAAATACAAATTATTTTTGATGAATAATAATTCGAACGTTAGAAAAATTGAAAGTTGAAGATTACTCTTATCTTTTTTCATTTCGTTTTTCTCTAAGTATCATTAAAAAAAATATGATCCCCATCTAAAAACACAAAAAGCAATTTTGAGATCTGATTAAAAAGAAAAAGAAATCTATAAATAACTTGTGACTCGAAAATGTAAAAACTCAAAATTTTGAAGTTCACTTGTTGTGAATCAAAATTATTTATGATATAACATCTATTACGACTTTCTTTTCTCGCAAAAATTTCATAACGAATAAAGCTGATGATGAAAAGCTATACTGTAGAAAAATAGAAGTTAATTGTATTCAATCGATTAGAATCAGTTAAATCATGTCATTCGTTACAAAAACAAGTGCATCGATACAGAAGAAACTTGATATGAAAATAAATACACTAATTCTCAAATTATCTTGACGAATAGACTCATTCATTTTTCTTACATCTAAGCTTAATAAGATCGAAAATTTCATTAGTTCGATATATGGTAGTTAATATTTTAGTGAATATTGTAAGTCTTTACTGTATTTATTTCCAGATAGTTCAACTACTTATTTATTTAACTCAAATTTAAACATTTCATTTGTTTTTTTATTAGAAATATCGTTGCTGCAAATAATCTGTATGATGCTGAATATATACGATATTTTACTGGTATCAATGCAACTGTTTTATCCTCAATATGTGATTATACGAGATTTGTCTATCGACCAAATAAAAGAAATCTTGAATATATTTTTATTCCATCACATAAACAGATTTATTTTAATCAACAATTTCTTGATGAATTAAAAGTTTCAATAAAAAAATTCAATGCACCAATAATAGTTAAACCTTTACGACAATTGTATAAATTTTATCGTTATATAAATTTAGTTCGTCATCCAGCTATTATCTATTTACCATATCAAGTATCATTAATGAGTATATTTGAACAATATTCAATGAATATTCCACTCTTTTTTCCATCACTTGATCTTTTAAGTGAATGGCATTTAAAATATAGTGTTGTATTTGATCGAACATGGGATAAAGCTTTAAGTGGTGTCAGTAAAAATTCTTCAGCAATACCAGGTTATGAATTAAATTCCAGCGTACCTGATCCAAATAATGAGTATGATTTATCGGCAATACGTTATTGGTTAAAATTTGCTGATTTTTATCAATGGCCACATATAACTTATTTTAATTCAACTGATGATCTTACTTTAAAATTAATGAATACAAATTTAAATTTTATCAGTGAACAAATGTCCGAATATAATCGTAAGAAAAAAATTGAATTACTTGAACATTGGAAAACAATTCTAAATCGTATATCTACATCGTCATTTTTTTTAAAGAAAAAAGAAATGAAAATAAAAAAAATAAACTAAAAATTTTTGTTTTTTATACACTAAGTTCAGATATTGAAACAAGACATTTTGCTCGTTTATTCATTTCATTAATAAATACATCATATGGCATAATAGTTTGTATTAAATAATTCTGCTCATCATTTCCAACGAAACGATTTAAAGAATATTCAATAGGAGATGCTATTTTCCATGAACGTAAACATTTATAATGTTCACCAATAAATGTTGCAGCAGCTAATTGTGTTGTTAAAGAATTTGGTCCACGTAAACTTAAACTTTTTAATGTTGTTAATCGTTGACAACAAGCTATTAATTCAAGATAATCATTTGATGAAAAACGATTATAATCAAGATCTAATACAACAAGACGTGTTTGTTTTATTAAAACAATTAATAATTGACGCATAAAACGATTTAAACGATTTGTACCTAAATCTAAATGTAAAAATTGATGTCGTGTGCTCATTTCACTTAAACTTATTAAATCATTTTCATATAATGAACAAAAATCTAAATTTAATACATCTAATGAATGATCAATTGCATTAAGAATAAATTCTAAACGATTTGTTATTGGTGAACCACTTAATGAAAGATGTTTTAAATGTTTTAATTGTGATAAAACATTACAAAATTGATCTAAATCTTCTTGATTAAGACGAAAATCAATAAAATTACATGATAAATCTAATGTATGTAATTGTGTTAAACTTGGTAAACGTGGTAGAAAATATTTTAAATTTTGTCGTGTTAATACATTATATGGAATACGAAGTGTTTGAACATACTAAATTAATATTTATTATACAAAAAAAAAATAAAAATAAAAAAAAGAAATTTATTAATGAAAAACTTACTCGTTTATCAACATGATCAAGAAAACTACTAACAAGTGCTAAACCAATACAACGCATATCAATTGTACATATTTGTAATTGAATATTTGGAGTTGTTGAACGAAGAGCAGATAAAAGTTCAACATAGGTCCGATAATCTTGAATTATACAATCAAAACGAATTATAATTATATCATCAGGATATGAACTTGATTTAATAAGATCATCGTTATTGTCATTTGAATTTATTGAATAATTATCTGAAATCATATATAAGAAATAAATTTTATTTTATTTTTATACGAATTTAATTTACCAGTACAATCATTCTTATTATCATCGGTAGGTTTAGACTCTGATGATAATTGATGATGTTGTTGATTATAAATATCAATTAATTGATTACGTCTTGATTCTTTTTCTGCTAATCGACAATGTGTAGAAATATAACGAATAATTAATTCGACAACAGGAAAATTTGTTACGTCAAGTATTCGTATATTTGATAGTCTTTTTTGTATTATTTGTTGTTGTTGTCGTATTGTATCAATAAAACGAGGAATTATAATAACAGAATATTTAATAGCTTGTTTAGTTCTTTGTAATGCTGCCTTTTCATCTAATAACATTTTCAATGATGTTAATTTTTCATCAACAAAATTTTCTAAACGAAATATTCGATATGGCCATCGTGATATAAGAATATTAATACATGTATCATCTTGTGTATAATGTAATGCTGCACGAAATAATTGATTAAATAATTCTTTTGGTATTATTTCACATGCTTGTTCAGTCAAAGACTCATTACGTACAATTATTGAACAACATAAATTAGTAAGACTTGATATACGGGGTTGATTTACAGATATTTCATTATCATCATTATAATTTATTCGAAAACTAGCACCATTGCGAAAAAATAAATATGAAAAATCAGATGAAAAAGAATTAGCCTCTTCTTGAGACATTAAATTTCAAGAATAACATAAAAACTAAAAATATCAACTTCAAGGAAAAAACAACAGTCGAGCCTTCTTTTCTCATTCGTCCAATGAGAATGGAGAGAGGACAACGAATAAAATTAATGGCTGCAGAAAAAGAAAGTCTTGTTTGTAACAACCCTTTTTTTTTCTTATTACACTAAATAAACAATCGAAATAAAATCTTTACTTCCGTTAATTTTAGATGTGCTTTGGCACGAGCTCTGGACAATTAAGTCAATTGGCACACTATGGTCCTATTGGTGCCATCTCTCTGATAATATGGATGTATGAAAGATTTTTTTTATTTGTGAAATCTAATTGCGCGTTTTTCTTAATGTAGAACTATTAGTGCTTTTAATTGTCTTACTCAATGGTTTCCACCGGATAGTAAAGATATATTAAGTGTGATTAATTTTCTCATTTTTTGGATATGGCCTGTTGTGATCTTTTACAATTATTTTCGTGCTGTCTTTGTTGGTCCTGGTATGTGTTGTTATGTAGCGAAAAAACAAAGTTTCTTTGAATTGATATTTTCTATATATATTTCCAATAGGATTTGTACCAAAAGGATGGAGACCAGCAAAAGTTGAATATGAAAAATATTTACAATATTGTAAGATTTCATTTTATTAAAAATACAATTCAATATTTAATAATAAAATATAATATATAGGTGATGTATGTGAAGGTTTCAAAGCGCCACGTGCACATCATTGTAAGAAATGTGGTCGATGTGTTATGAAACTTGATCATCATGTGAGTTAATAGTTTTGAACAAAATAGTAACTAGAGAATTTTCCCATGCTTTTCATATTTCTTTAACAAATAGACTCATGATATAGATAAAAACTTGACGAGTTTATTGCAGAAAAGGATTTTTTCGGTTTACAATTGTAAAATGTTTAGAGGTCAGTTTCCACGCCAGTGGTCTCAATGGATTGGGCTGGACCAAAGAAAGTCGATTCAGGGTTTTCTTAAAAAAAAAATGGTCCAACTGCTAGCCACTCATCTAGTTACATCGAATAAATTTTTAACACATGAATGAGAATGCATAGTTCGACTACCAGTAGTTGATGTATAAAAGAAAAACTCTTTGATAATATATTTAACAAGTTGTAAAACTTTCCAACATGTAGATGAGTTTGCTTTTTCATTTCTAATAACAGCATGCCTCGACAATTATTATGTCAGAAGAAATTTGATTGATTCGGACGTATTCTGTTTTATATGTGATAATGAATCAACACCGATAGTGGAAGAAAAAAGGGTTAACAAAAAATTAGTACTTGAGAAAGTTCAACAGGAATAGAATTAGAAAAAGAAAAAGTAATTTTTGATGAATGAAGAGAGCTAAGTAAAGACATTTTCTTCAATATAAAGAAAGTTTTCATTTTTTTTTCTTTATTTTGCCGTTCTTTGAAGAAATGTTTTAGCTAATAGAAACATTACATGTGATTTTGGAAGAAAAAAAATTTAGTAAATTCACAAAACATCTTTTGTAAATTTTATATTTTATTAAAAGTTCGGCCCTATGAGCGTCCATCCCAATACCAGATTAACTCGGCCAAGTTCATGCTGTTCTATTGAAAAAAAATTCAGCCCAACACATTGAAACTTCTGTTTTACGTTTCATTCATCTGTTAGGATAGGTTTTCATCAATATACTAAGTGTAAAAATGAATAAAAATTTAAACTGAATTTTTCAATCGAAAATAAGTAAAAACTAAAATTCATAAGCATATACTATATATATTTTAGTGTCCATGGATAAATACATGTACTGGTCATTTGAATCATGCAAATTTTTGTTGGTTTATGTTCTATGCTATACTTGGTTGTACACATGCATTATTAATGCTTTGTCCATGTATATATAGAGCACTATTTGCTCAATATTATATATATGCTCGTATAAAAAATGTTCCAATTATCTATTTTACATTTGTTGGTTTAATATCATCTATACTTTCCATTGGTCTTGCACTTGGTGTTATATTTGCTGTTAGTTGATATATCATGTGTTTTCTTTTCTTTATTAAATCACCATAAAAAATTTATTTTTAGGTTGCATTTTTATTAGTTGTTCAATTACGAAGTATTATGCGTAATAAAACAGGTATTGAAAGTTGGATATTACGTAAAGCACGTGATCGTAATCATCGTCGTGCAAAAGAATTTATTTATCCATATGATCTTGGTTTTAAAGAAAATCTTCGTCAAGTATTTAATTGGAGAGAATCATATAATGTTATAGGTGATGGTTTAATATGGCCTATACGTGATGGTTCGGATGAGTATGCATTAACACGTGAACAAATTGAACAAAAAAAAGAAAAACGTCAACGTACTGTTCGTTATGAAGTTGTACAATCATTTAAAGGTTCATTTATAACATTACGTTATGGTTTATGTACATGTATATGTATACCTTGTACGGATGAAACTCGTATGGCTGTTGAAAAAGGTGATTATGTTCTTGTTACACGTTGGGAAAAATATTGGTTATATGGTGAACGTGTTATGGCTAATGAAACAAATAAAAATGATAATATTAAAAATTTTCGACGTCGTCGTCCACGTGGTTGGTTTCCACGTTGTTGTGTATATGAAGCATTTCGAATGGAAGATTTATGGTCAGGAAAAATCGAACCCGATAGTGATGTTGTACGTGCTCAACTAGTTAATTTTGCTCCTGAAGACTGTGCTGATAATGATGAAGAACATGTTGAACAAAATGAAGAAAGTCAATCAGATGATACAACATCAACATCAGTATCATCATCATCATCATCAAAAGTATTAAAACAAAGAAAAAGTCGAAAAGAAGATTAATTTAAAAGTATGTTTTAATGATTTCCAAATCAATCATCAAATAAAACAAGTATGTATACATTTTATTGATTTATTTTCGATGTTTCGCTTTAAAGAAAAAACGCATATATATAGATATTTTCTTCGAATGAATTTATGTATACGCTGCGTCGAATTCCTATTGCGAAATAGACTGAAATATTTTTATTCAATCTCGGGATCGTTTATTCTTGTAATTTAACTAAGAAATTTCGTGATTTTATTTTAGAGATCGTGTTTATTTACGAGCGAATAATTTAGTCTTAATATCATTGGGGCACAATTAAATGTTCACGTATAATAGAGTTCTGATAGATGATAATCTATGTTTTCTTTTCAAAAACGATCTACAACGCTGATAAACCTATTAAAATTTTTCGATAAGCATTTAACCTATAGCATAAACATCTTGATGCAAAATATTCACTCATTTTTCGGTCACTAAAAAACAACTGGTTACAGTCAGAAACAGAATTTTTCACTGTATCGGATTTTTCTTCTGAGGTTAGATTGAGTTTGGTTCTTGGAACAACTTTAATTAAACATTACTGAATTCTGTGTAAACTGAGACATTATAATAAGCGACAGTACATTCACGTGTTTCCATTAAAGAGCTAGTTTTTATAAGAATTGATGAACGCGATGAGCACGTGAATGATCATCAAACACGAAAACATTAAGGTAATGGGTATGGATATCAATGAAAAAAAAGAGAAGTCTTACACTCCCTCCCATTTACATTCACTGACTTTATAATAGACATCCAATTTACTTTTACTTTTTTTGCCTTGTTAAAGTTTTTGTGCTGAACGTTTTTGTGCTCAAGTTTTTCTTCGTGCTTAAGTATCCATGCTCATTGTGTCGTTTCCATGTGCAATATAAAATAGAAAAGTAAACATCAATATAAATAGCAAATTAAACAAAAAAAAAAAGCGTTCTGTAGAATTACTTTTTTGAAACAATTCTATCTTAAAAAGAAATTCTGAATACTAATTCGAAAAGAACAAAAAGAGTTTGATTCTAATGAGGCAAGGTTTCTGATTGATACATGTCGTTTTCAATGATATGTTAGGGACATTATTCTAGGAAAAATCTTAAGGAGATTCAGGCTGACGGGATCGAGCAACAGAATTTCAATTTGAAATTTTGCTCAAATGTAATTCTCGTGATCATTAGAGCACTTACAATGTTTCAATGAAAAAAAACTTTTCTCTTAGAGATATCGATTCTTAAAACGTATCTCATAAAGTTCGGAAAGATTAACTTTTTTTAACAATTCAACATCATGACAAGAAAACATTTCTTTTTTTTCTTGAAACATTTAGTGTTTCAATGGCTACGAGAACTACATTTGAGTAAAATTTCAAATTGAAACTTCATTGTTCGATTTTTCTTTACATACTTTTTACTAGGGAATTTTCGAAAGAAGCCTCACCAGTCTAAACCCTCTTAGGATTTTTCTTAGAATAATGCCTCGAACACATGGACTAACTATCAATGAAAATAGTGTGAATCAGTTAGAGACTTTCCCTAGTAAGTGCTTTTAAATTTAACTGATTGTCTTTACGTGACCGAAAAATGAGTACACATTTTGTGGAAAAACTTTCGCGCCATAGATTAGTAATATGAATGTAAACTTTCAGTGCGTTTGTGATTAATCAGTCAAATTATAACGACGATATATCTCGAATATTTTGTCACTTCAGGAAAATTTTATCTCTCAATCGATTCGTTTAAACTATAAATATTTACTAATCGAACGTTTGTTCTTATCATATGCACATGGAGTTTGATAAAGCAAGTGAAAAAAAAATACACAACTTTAATTTTCTATTTATTTATCAATATTTTGGATATATAATAAATCGAATACATTTTTATCATTATCTTCTAGCTTGCACATTCTTCGCTTTCGCGTTTTGTTATCAAGTGCGCTCGTCTTTTCGCTTCTTCTTGTCTTTGATCTATAATTTTACTTCGTATGCGATCTATGCCCGAACACGATGATGAACACACAATATAACGAAATATCGTGCGCCGAAACCATTCATCTATTTAAAAAAAATTCATTAATCTTCTAGTTTTTACAGAACACTTAAATATGTGTCTGTAATATTTTCTCTTCTTGTTCTTTTTTCTTTTTTTATTGTTTCAAAACCATAAACATATATTGTACGAAAAACTAAAACCTTCGTTTCCTTTTTTTTTTTCTCTTATTTATGCTTTTCCATTTCTTCTAGTTGTTTTTTTGTTTCTGTTTCTTTTCATATTGTGATCTTTGATCGATGCGTTCCACTGTTTGTCAACTACTTTATATAATGAACAGTTGACATTTTTACTATTTGTGTGTGTACGTTCATCGTCTCTGATGTAGCAAAAAAACCTAAAGGTCAAGGTGCTTGATTGCGTTTATATTTGTTTTATCTTCTTCAATTTAACTTTGTTTTTTGCTTCTGTAAACCGATTTCTCTTGTTATAGTAATGTTATAATTTTACTGATCGGGTTTTTTTCTTTTTTTTTCTTCAAAATTCTAGATACGAACAATAACAATGAGTGGACCAGCTAAAGTAGTAAAAACAAAATTATTTATTGGAAATCTTGATCCAGCAACACAACCTTGTAAATGATAATGTGTTTTGTTTTTGTTTTGTTTTTTATAATTAAGTATTTTATTTAGCTGAATTATCTGATCTATTTGGACCATTTGGTACTGTACTTGAAGCGTCTGTGATTAAAGATTATGGTTTTGTGGTAAAACAAAAAGAATTTATTTGATAATATCGAGATATTTATTATTTCTTGATTAGCATTATGGCACAATTGAAGAAGCTGAAAAAGCAGCAGTTGCATTAAATAATAAAGAATTTCATGGAAAAAGATTACGTGTTGAAGTAATGAATTATTATTATATTTAGTTTTATGAAATAAAATTTCATTAATTAGCTTTCAACAAGTACAGTACGACATCGACCTGGTCAACCTGAACCAGCTAGTGCTTTACGAAAGTATGATTATTAAATATACTTTTTTTTTATTTTCTAATAATTAAAAAGTATTTATTATATTTAGTTCACGTGCTCGCGCTGCTGCAATGGCTAGTGGAAATGGTTTATCTCGATATAGTCCAGCTGCACCTACAAGTGGTGTTGGTCCAATGCGTCATAGTGCATCAGCATGGGTTCGTAGTGATGCTCGTCCATATGATGGTATTCAAATGGATCCTAGTGCTATGGCTGCTAGCTATGGTCCAGTATCAGCGGTTTATGATCGTTCTCGTTCATATGATGCTCGATCAGATCCAAGAAATTACTATGGAGATAGACGTGACAGTGGTTATGGATCTGGATATGATGCATCTCGTGATAATTTATATGCAGCACAAACATATGCTAGTATGGGTGGAAATAGTAGTGGACAAGCAGGCTTGTATTCTATACGTGATTATCGTGATTTACCACCACATGCTCGAACAGATAGTATGGGTTATGGTACAAGTCGGTAAGAAGATTTTTCCTTTTTCTTTTTTTTTTAGATTTGAATAATTTAATAGATTATTTTTATTACCAAAGAATAAATAAATCACATTCAGGAATTTGGACTTCATTTGTTTCGTAAATAAGAGATTTAATTGTCTTTTTGCATTATATTATTGGCTTTTTTTTCTATTGATTTAACAATCTTTTTAAACATATAAAAGAAAAAAATATTATTTTTTTTTCTTTATAGAATGTATGATCGTAATCAAGGCGCGTCACCTGTAGATCCATATTATAGCGGAGGATTACCTCAAGGGCCACCAGCATCTGTTGATCCTTATCATAGTTATGATCCGTATCAAAAATTTTATACTAGTCGACCTCGTGATTCAGAATTTCCAGTTGCAACTGGTCAAAATCCAACATCACGGTTTATAGTTTTATTTTTTTCTTCAATAAAATATCTATGAATCATTTTTTTGTAGTGATTATGATGTTTATGCAACTTATCGTAATGATCCATATGTAACCGCAAGTGGTCAACCACCACTTCGACATGATTTAGCCGTTGCTTTTCAACAACAACAACAACAAGCAGGTTATCCACCATCGAATCAACAAAGACAACAACAACAAGCATATGGAGCTGCATCAGGTACACCAACAACTTCATATGCACCACCTGTTACTCAATATTATGGTGCTCAACAACGAGCATGATATACGTACTTTTCTTTTTTTGGTTATATGACTATTTAATTTTAGTGTGTTTGTCGATGTGTGTGTATATGTGTGCTTAGGTGGTTTGTTTTTTTTGTTTCTTATTTTTTCTTCTTATGTAAATCGAAAAACCGAAACATCTAAAAATGAATGATGCGGTTAGTTTGTACAAAGTTATCTTTGTCTTTAACACTTATTTTTGGTTCATGTTATTGATGTTTATTTGTTTGTTTGTTTATTTATACTAGATAATAAGAAAGAAAAATATCAGCAATATTAAATTCCTATGAAATATTTATTTAAAAAGTATATTATTGTAAGTTTTAGAAAAAGAAACTAATTATTTTCTGATGAAATAATTTTGATGGTTCTTTTTTTGAAATATTTAGTTCGTCAATTGAAAGCATATGGTGAAAATAGAACCTTTATTGTCATGGTATATCTGCGTGTGTGTTATATGTATTGTTGTCTTGTAGATATTTGAATATTTTTAGTAATGATTACCATGTATTTTGACGCAATTAACAAGTGATATGTGAAACTGAACATCTCAGCTAAATATCAACTACTCCTGCCTACGCATTGTACGTAAGCCTAAAGATAATTATTAGAATCCTTGATCTTTATCGAACTAGAGAATTTATGTAAAATAAACTTCCAACTGGAAAATTGACTATTCGTAATATGAAGATCTAGAATCGGTATATAAGTTCATAATGTTTGTTTATTGAGAATATGCTTATATCGATATATATATATGCATATATCAATGAAATAACAGTGGCAATAATAACGAGAAAAAGATTATCCAATACAGAAACGCATATAACAATAAAAACACTCTTATGAATAAGTGTAGAAAAAATCCGTATATGCATGCATATGAGGAGAAATGATGATTATAGACTACATGAAAGAGAAAGGCAAGAACGAATGAGCAAAGAATAATTTACTTAAACATTAGCGGTGACATCGTGTCATTGGTTGACGTTAACAGAAACAACAAGTAGACAAATATTTTATTTTAGGTAATTCGATAGATAAAATAAGTTGAGAAAAAGAAGTATGGTACAATATTTGTCCAAATCACGAAAAGAATCGTTTTCTTAATTAGTCATACGCAAAGCTGCAGCTGTTGTCTCGTAACGTAAAAAACAGTCGTGTAATGTAGACCGATAATGATTCATTCGGAAGAAAAATATTTTTTTATAGCTTTATTAGGTTTCTTGTTTGAATCCACATAGTTTATGATTTCTCATTTCATGGTTATATTTTCATTTATTTGCACGTTCTTTTTCAATACGAATACTTAATTGAAAATCAACTCAAATAAAGTAAATGTATGGGGTGAAGCTTGTTTTTGATTTGCACGCTGTAATCAATAGAATGGTATAGACTTTGCTCTTTGAACTAATAAGAACCTATATATATGTTCTCCCGGTAGGATAATTATTATCGTCTAGGCTATTGATATTTTGTGATATTTTTATTTTTTTCTCCTACCACTAAGTAATTAATCATTTCTGACTGCATGTCTTTTTTATCTAGCGTACACAAATACGCTCCTTTCATTGATGTCATTGTATAAGAGTATACTCATCGAAAAAAAAGGAAAAAAAAAACGTGTTTCTTTTCTCGCACCGTACATCAACGCGCATTGGTATATTCAAATGACATTTAGCTATAGTTGTGATGCTTGCTTTTAAGATGTTACCCAGCTAGACGCGCACAACCTCTGTCTATCTATGTATTTTCCATCACATACACTGTTAGTTTTGTTTTCTTGTTTATCAGCAAACTTATATTTGTCTTCGCTGATAGACATATATTATAGTCCATAAAATGCAAGAAAAAGGAAAGAGTTTTATTACGCTTTATTATTTGTTACGAAGGTTACTATTTACGCTTCATTTGTTACGAGTACGCAACGCAAGAATAATTGTAGTGTCGCAATCACTTATGAATATGTGCATATTGTGATGATAGATCAAGTTCCCTTTTTTTTCTCTAGTAAAGGGTTGCTCTTTTTTTCAGATTGATATTTGGTGTCATTCGTCTTGGTTTTATTGCTCCATAAAAAATATTTTCTTCTCATTATTATGTCATATTTAAGTAAGTAAAATATTGATAATGTGTTTCTTTATTTTTATTTTTATTTTTATTATGTTTCTTGCTTTTAGTATTCATATGAGCCAAACATCTTGGTTTGGAGAAAAAACTGCTACGGCTGGTCTTGTAGCCGGATTCTTTGGAGGTAAAAAGAACATAGCTACAAGAGGAAGAGAAATTATGTAACCTTCGTTTATGATATGTTTCAGGTCTGGCACTTGGTTGGGTTTTCAGTTCATCTGTATTTCTGAATAATAGTGTCAAAGTTGTTTCTAATGCTTTCGATTTTGAAAAAGATCAATCTGCAGATGACAAAAATGTAAGAAGAAATAATATACATGGGTGTTCCGAAGTCGTTAAGATCGTGGGGGGGGGGGGGGGGTGAAGAGGCGAAAACATTTTTGGAAATCGATGAACAAAAAAAACAATAAAACGCTGGAAGAATTGGATGTGGAATCGCTCATTCCCTCTACACTTCGGGATACCACTGATAACATAATAAACGAAACCATTAAATTTAAAATAAAACTTTGTTTTTATATAGTTCGATCCTGGTTCCTCTGATGCTGAAGGAGAATACAAAGTAAATATTATGAATTTTGCCGTTGTTTTTCTTATATTCAAAATATATTGATTGAATTTTAGCTTGTTCTTGTTGTACGAAATGATTTGAAAATGGGTCAAGGTAAGATTTAAAATATAATATTCTATTTTATATTTTTATTTGTTTATTTTTCACATATAGGAAAGGTAGCAGCCCAAGTGAGTAAAATAAATTTATGATATTTCAAAAAATGAATGAGTCATTTTGATAGTGTTCTCACGCTACACTTGCATGTTTTCAAAAAGCTTGCGAAAGAATACCTGACGTTGTTGATACATGGTTTTCTAGCGGACAAGCAAAAGTTGTATGCAAGTGTGAATCAGATGATGATTTGTAAGATAGTTATTTAAATTTCTCTATGGTTTCATGAAGTTATTTTTGTAGGGAACAATTACGTCGTCAAGCTAAATTTAAAGGATTAACAACTTGTTTGATACGTGACGTGGGTATGTAAAGAAAAAGAATTTGAATGTATATTGTCTATTGGAATGTTAAATATTTATTATAGGTCAAACAAAAATTGGTCTAGGTCGTAAAACAGTACTTGGCATTGGACCAGGTTAGGTTAAACTCTTTGATAAATTTTTTTAATATTTATCATATATTTATTTTTCAGCACCTTCACGATTGATCAACGAGATGATTCGACAATTGAAAATATATTAAATAATTATTATTTGTTTTTTTTCTCTTTTAAAATTAATAAATAATACTTCTGTGTTACTGTCTTTCATGTTGTTCCTATTAGTTGTCGCTTTCGTTTTTTTTGTTTCCGTGTAGCTTTGAAACTCGGTATGATAATATTATTTGTATTACCTGTTTCATTAGCAATCGATCATGTGCAAGCTTATATTGTCAATAAAAATATATCTGATCGTATCATTTTCTGTTTAGAAATAATGATTAGATTATTTGTAAAAGATAAAAAATGACAAGCATGCAGATACAATATTTAATATATTTCAGATGAGTGATTCAACATCGTCAACTATTCCATCAATATCAGTGTCGATGTCGAATAGAAATTCATCAACAAACAATTGTAATCATTTTGGAAAATATGTTAAGCTTAATGTAGGCAATCATCTTTTTTTAACAAGTTTTGATACGTTAACAAAAGAAGATACTATGTTTAAAGCAATGTTTAGTGGACGTATGGAAGTTGTACAAGATAGTGAAGGTAAAAAGTAATAGATTGAAAGTTAATGGAATATTATTTTTGACACAATGTTTTTCAATATGAATACAGTAAAACCTCGCTTAAATGAACATCGTAAGAACTTTTGAAAGGTTTTCACCTATGAGAAATGTTCTATATGTTAACTTTCAATTTAAGATTCGCCTGAAAATTTAAAATGAATCTCAGATTGACCTAGTACAATGGCGGATTAAAAGGTGAATACGGTCATATTCGGACTCGCCTAGGCCAATTTCGAATCAACTAACATATTAGATTAAAGCAAAAGTTAATCAGAACAAATGAAACTTTATTACCAACAAAATACACTATCTAATCATAAGCAAATAACATTTAAAAAAACCAATGAAGGACACTGCATGACATATGGATGCCAATGTATTTGTTCTTTTCACTCCACTCCCACACCTACAATCGAAATATAAATTTACTTTTTACTTTTTCGAAATGTGTTGTAGACTTAAGCGACAATTTAATGTCATCCACATTTTTCTAATTCAGTTTTTGTTCAATAAATTCTTTAGATTGAATCAACTCCTATACATAGAATACAATACACTTAGTTTCTAATTCGATATTGTCCTAGACGGATCAGAGATTGGACGCTAACATATATTTTACTCTGAAATGAAAAAAACAGCTTCAGAATGTAAACTTCTTTACTAGTTTTGAAGTATTCAGAGATCGTTTTGTTTTTGTATTGTTCATCTCTCTTCATTTGGATACTGATGAATTCAAAAAATATTCAACAGAATACAAAGCTTTCCTTTGTTTCACAAAGTCTCATATTATTGTTTCGATCTCGATATATATGAATTTCATGAACGTTGCCATACAATTAAACTTTTGAATTTTTGTTTAAGAATTTGTCTTTGGTTTGTTGAATAATCCTTAAAATATTCTTCTTTTTAAGTTTTAAAATATTGGATAGAGAACCAAGTGAAATTAAGGAGATGTTTTCCTATGTGAGATATATTTCCAGTAAAAATCGCTTCATGAGACCTAGACTCTGTTCAAAACTGAGAGGAGCCATCATTGCTGAGTGGCTAACGTTATTCGACACGTTTTCACAAGTTACTGTGTGCTGATCTCAATAAAATCTGCCATGGAACAATTTTAAACAACTCATTAACGATTATTTGTCTCGAATCATCCGTCCGATAGCATGCTGACTATGTTTTGATATAGACTTACTCCTGTGGCTAGTATGTGAAGCGCAAGTCATTGAAAATAACAGTTCTGTATCAGACCGATCTTCTGTCTAGAACTACAGTTAGTCATGGTTGTAGGAAAGATATCGGGCTATTGAATCTGTTACTACACAGCACTTTATACTGTAAGGTAACTCTACAGCAGGAGTATTCATTCTCCTTCCTTCCAAAATGGGAGATATTCATTGATAGAGGTTTTATGGCAGTTAGTATGGATCTATCTTTATATCAGATAAAACTGAATAATTTTGCAAAAAAAATCTTATAAATCTTCAGTGTTTGTTGAATAAACTTCTGTTCTTAAATTCAAATTAGGTTGGGTATTAATCGATCGTGATGGTAAACATTTTAATAAAATATTAAATTATTTACGTGATGGTACTTTAAATTTACCTGATTGTACTCAAACATTAAATGAACTATTACAAGAAGCAAAATTTTATTGTATACAATCACTGATTGAACTTATTGAACAACATATACGAATACGTTTAAGAAAAAATGCCGGTGATACGGATGCTTGTTGTAAAGTGATTATGTTAACATCAGCAAAAGAATTACCAAACATTGTTGCTTCTGTACGTAAGCCAATTGTTAAATTAGCAATTAATAGACATAATAATAAATATTCATATACTGCGTAAGTTAATTATTAGAAAAATAGTCATGAACTTTTTTTATTATTTTCTGTAGTTCATCTGATGAAATGTTAATGAAAAACATCGAATTATTTGATAAATTAAGTATTCGTTTACATAATAGAATTCTATTTATAAAAGATGTAACCGGTAGTGAAGAAATATGTTGTTGGAGTTTTTATGGCAATGGACAAAAAATGGCTGAAGTTTGTTGTACATCTATTGTTTATGCAACTGAAAGAAAACAAAATAAGGTTACAATTATTAAAAAAAACAATGAATTCAATTATATTTATGTTGTTGTTTTAATTTAGGTTGAATTTTTTGAAGCAAGAATTTACGAAGAAACATTAAATATCTTATTATACGAAAATCGAAATGCACCTGTTGATGAAATTATTCGAGCAACAACACCACGTTTTATATCCAATGCATTAAATGATGATGATTTAGATGAAGAACGTTGGACTAATACAAACTCTGCATCTGCAACTAGTCGACCACCGAGAAAACGTTGAAACTAAATATTTATTTGCATGCGTGTGTTTGTTTAATTTTTTTTTGTGTTCTTTCCTATGGTATGAAAGTATTTGTTTCTATAAATACATATATATATATATATTGAATTTTAGTCAGTTATGTGATTTATTTGTGTATTCCGTTTGTCTTTCTTTTTTTTAAATTTTTAATTAGGAGGCATGGTACTCCTTTGAATGGCGAAATAAAAGAAAATATTTTTTTTAAAGAGAAAACGTAAATTTCTTTTGTCTTTATATAGCTCAACAGTTCTTTAAAGAGTTTCATTCCAATGTGTTCGACTATTAATAATATACTTTGTTATATTTTGCTCAATTGACACTCTCGAATATACGCTTGCCATTTATAACTATCTTCATAGAAAAAATCATCCAATGATTTACATGAAGTGAATTGACATTAAATTCAATAAGGAAGATTATTAATTTTATTCTCATTGAGTATTGCAGCTTCAATCTAATTACTAACAATATTTGTCGAATAATGTCCATATTTCAAGACTTTATAGTAGATACGAATGTCTCAAGAGGGCGAAGCGCGACTTCGATACTCCAAAGTACTCAGGTAATGTTTTTGCACCTTGAAGTACCTGCACAAAATGGCATGAGGTTCAAATTCTATAAGATTACAGTACAAACGTATTGAGTGCTATATTAATAGAAGAGAATAGGATGAGCATGAAGTCATGCCTTGTGTTTAGTGTATCATAGCCAACATAGAGATAAAATGGGGTGGCAAACAACACCCAATTTTGGACTTCTACTGCACAAATAACTTTTCGTTATAGTCGTCAAAAGTCAGGAAGCATGTAGCAAGATTTTTTTTTGTTTAAAAAGAACTTGATATTGCTTCAACAAACTCTACCGCATTAATCAAAATTTAATTTGAAAATGAACGAAAACAAAGTCAAAGATCTATATTTCATAAACAGTGGTTTGCAAAAAAACTTGGAACAAACATTTGGCTTATATTAACGCCTGAGTTAATCGTCTTGAAAAAAATGTTTCGATATTTCATACACAATAGTTCATAGTTTAACAACATCCCGTTCAGTATTGTGTTCCCTCTTCTTTTACTTCAAAAACTTAATTGCATCTTTTTTTTATGCGATTTGTAAAACTAATTACAACTTATTTTTTCATATGAGTTCAGTTTTAGCTTGTAAAAAGTTTTCAGTTTACTTGTATTTTTTAATTTTCTTTTTCCTACTCTATGTTTCACACATTCCAAACATTTTCAATGGGATTAATATCCGGATTGTTGAGTGACTAGTCTAAAATATGAGAAATAGTAGTGACGACGAGTATTTCTCATATTTTATACTGGTCGTCAATCAGCACGAATTCGAATGGAACCGAAAATGNCTCATCATCTCTTCAGAATGGTAAGGGTATTGATTTCCTATAAGTATCTTTAATACTCATTCCGCAGTATTTGTCTGATTCACCGCGCTTAAATGTGATTTTTTGAAAACTAATGAATGTTTTATCTATTTCCTAACAAAATCATGAAATTCTCAAATGAAACTTCGACTTCGAAGAAAAAGTAGACAGGCCAGGCGATCTGTCATTTTCAAGCTGTCTGTCTGGCCTGTGCCTGTCAAAGGCACGCAAGCCCAGGCAGACCGGCAGGCCTCGTGGCCTGTTTGGACCTCTGATACACACTCTAACAGAAACTATATATAAATATATGATATTTTAGCAACCATTCTGCATTCGTCTCTATTTTTATATACCCGTCGAGCAGCCGACGCTTTATAGTACCATCTATTAAACTCTATTGCGATGACTATTAGAAAGTAGAACAAATAAAATGCTGCAAGTTAGGAAAAAGAATTTAATCATTGACAGACTCATTTTTAATGAGATATTGTGCATTTTGTTACTTCATTTTGATACTTATTTGTTAAATTTTAAAGTTAAGTCGTAATCAATGTTAATTAAAAATTATTCTAACAACAAACCAACCTAGTTCAAAACTTAATTAATTTCACTGTGACTATTACAAAATAGGTTAAGATTGACACGAACACCCTTTGAGTATATATATTTGCATGTATGATTGTATCTTGCCTTAAAAAAAGAAATATTCTTTCGTAGGTTTTTCTACTTTATGTTGTTGTTCATACATGGTTCATTATTTTTTCAAGAAATATTACAGTACCATAAATATGAGAAAAACATTAACGAAAAAGAAGTTTCCTCCAGTTACCATAAGGTGCATCCACTAGGCGGCTGCACTGCTTATCAAAAATGCTTTCTGGCAATGAACGCTCTTGCCTTGTTTATTTGAGCGCGGTGCATATCTCTGCTAAGTAAATGACCTTCGAGGGATGGCAAAATTTCGAGCCAGATGCAACCTATTGAATTGAAAAAAGTCTGTTATGAAGATTTATAGGACGATTGAGAGTGCATCATTGTGTAAATAGCTTTTCTTCAGTTGTGTGCTGATAATAAAAATATTACTCTGGATTTCCACTAGATTTAATTATTCTCCAGATAATACCATAATAATAAAATTTCGATAAGAATCGTTTGTTATAATATGTGACGATAATGTTTTTAAGTATTTTGAATAATTTATGATAGAACGAAGATAGAGAGTGATGAGTTTTACTATAAGAAAGATGAGAGAAAGACGCATCGAACCAAATATATATTATTAGTTTTTTAAATATGTTCTCTGAAGATTTTTTAATCGATTTTCTAAGACAAAGCGGCAAAATGGCTTTTTATCAAAGAGGAAAAATAATAGGATAATATTTTAAAAGAAGAGTTTCTAGAAAAAGATAATTTAGAATTTGGAATAGAATACTTATATAATTCGTAAATAATGAAATCTAAACATCTGAATCTTGCACTCTTATAGATCTTCAATTAATAATCCGAATACACATCTAATAAATGAAAATTCAGTATTAGCACATCATAGAGTACGTTTGTTTTCAAAAGAAACTATAATATACACTTTGATGCATCATCATCGCCGCTTTCTAATAGGTCAAAGCCGCGACTCTTCATCTTATTTCTATCAAAAGTTATCCAAAACATATCCAACTGCCTTTAGTCTTTGAAATTGACTAGAACATTATCATGACCTATCATAGCAAAGAGCTCTAATAAAAATTGTATTATTATGATAATATTCGAAGAATGATAAAATATAAAGTACTATTCTTACTATCAGTGCATATAGAAAGAAAATTTGCTCAACTTTTCTTTATTATATTGAAGTATCCCCACAACTACGTTTTCGGTATGCCATAAGCATTTGGCAATGAGTTGTGTGTGTGTTTATTCGTGTCATTTATTGTTTCTCTAGGCACGCAACTTCCTTGCATGACTTCTATACAAAAGTACTTGAATGTCTTTTAATACTATTTACAGGTACATGTACGACTTTTTGCATTAATGATGAGCATTTGAACAATGGTTTTTAATTAATACAATATGATTATTTGTGTTTTCAATAATTAATATTTGACAAACACATATGTGAACATTGATTTTTGAGTTTCAAGCAAATCTAATCAATTGTAATTTTTTTTGTTTTCAACATTTACAAAATATGTATTGATCAGGCATGTACAAATGATATTTCGTCAAACCTTAAATTCATCTGTACAATTAATAATATAGAAAGGATGTAACTAATTTCCTTTCACTTCGCTAATTAAATTTTCATTAGTAAATTAATAAAACACTTATTTTCTTTTGATGAACTATTAGTAAATATAAAAAATGAACAATGAAGATAATCATTAACTAAAGAAATAGGTTTTCGTAGTTTCTATTAGAATGATTTCTCGAAAATGTTTCTAACTACAATAAGTTTAAAATAAATTTTAACTCACCCGATAATTTCATGTTCAAAATTATACAATAAATTAGTTTCAATCTTTGTTGTACATTGATTTTAATGTAAATTACTTACATAGTATATACTCTCGAATCTCGTATTTGTACATCAAATTTTGCCTTAGACTCTTCGTAGTTGTAACTTATTAATTCAAGTAAAACAATTGCAATGTGTGTAGCTGTAACCAAACTAACTGTTGAATTTCTATCTTTATTAGTTTATGTCATGAAGTTTGCATTAATTATTTAAGCAATCATATATTAATCGATAATCTTCTTATAATAAATATTTTTACTTATAGCTGATTTACATACAACTACGCATATAATAATCTATCAATAATCATTTAATCTTTCTCAGAAGAGCTTGTGAGTTTTATGTTTTTTTAAAGAAAATCCTTGAATTGAAAATTAATTACGCATATGAATAAATCAACAAGAGTACCATATTTGTTACATTTAAAATGACGACTGAATAAGCGTTCTGACTGCTTGACATATTTTCTATTGTATATTTCTGCAGAGAAAAGCACATATAATTCGGTGTAGAAGATTCAGAATTTTTAAATATTTCTTTGTTTTGTTATTATGATTAATGTCAGCTTAATTTCTTTATGAAAGTATACAATAATATTTATATTCATTTAATACAATCAGAAAATATATGTTAAAAGAAAAAAATTAATTCAGAAAAATTCTTTGAGTATATGACTTACGAAATCTCAGTTTTGTTTTGTAATTTCTTCCAACTAGCTTAATAAAAAGGAAAACGTTCCGCTCAAAACGATTATTGTGCATTGAAGCAGAATGCTCCATCTTTTGACTTTTAGTTACTGAAGTCAGATCAACAGTATTTTTTATTAATACTTTTTAATCATCGGTTTTCGCTTCGATATTCATCAGTTCTAACTTATCGCCGTTTATAAGTTTTCATCGTCTCTTTAGCCTCTTACTAATTAAATATTACACAAATTTCATCATTGAAATTTTACAATCAGAATATTTTCTTGTGAAAAAAATTCATCTTCAATATTTCCAGCTAATATTTAAAAATCATAAAAACAACAACAAAATAGTGTGACCTTCAATATAAATTTATCCATGAATAAAAATCGAAAAATCAATTTTGATATCATTTCAAGTATTTTAGTTATACATACAATCGGTAGAATTCATTTCGAAGACTATTTATTTTATATAAAGAAAATTATAATTTAACAAAAAGTGTTCTTTTTCTCATGAATTTAGGTTTAAAAAAGTTGTCGTTAGCTTAAGTTCATCCAAACTTGATTTCCAGAACATTACGATCTAACACATAGCTTAGGACTCTTAATTTTGTACTCAACTCAAATACGTCATTAATGCCATAGAACCTGTTTATAGTATGACAAAACAGGGCTTTTATGATGTATTTTCTATGATAGAATAATAAGGTTTCATGGAAAAAATATTTTTATAATCAAAGATCTGCAATTGAGAGAGAATAACATACTAAACAAAATCATTTATTCAGCAATTTTGATAACATTATGTCCTTAGAGATAAGATGTTAAATTATTCACGAAATTCCAAAAGTCATGTATAATCTTTTTGAATTAAGGAATATCTTACTTATGATTATTTACTATATAAATATAGTTTTTACTTTCTAGTTCTCATTGAAGTCATAGAATTGAATGCTAATTTTAATTTTTGAAAGAGTTCATATAATTATTCATCCGTGTTTTTTTCTTTTTCATATTTGATCATTCATATCGTTCCTTAGAGGTGCTTTAAAATAATGACTTGTTAGTTGATGAAAACTTTTTATCGACTGAGAAATTCATCATTGCAAACTCCTTCAAGGTGAGCTGTTGATATGTGCTCTGTTAGTTATTAGTCAGATGTTACAACGTTTTTTTTTCATTATTAATATATACGCATACGGCTACTTTCCTTGATTACTTATCCTATTTTTTTGCATTATTATTAAGGAAAATCCATTCATGTAAAAAAGAGAGAAGAGAGAAACTCTTTTGAATTATTTTTTTTTCTCTATTCACAAGAAAACGACATTTTTACAGTTTACTCAAAAAAAGCGAAGGAGAGAACTGAGCCCCCTTTAATTTTTGTAAATCATTTCTCCATGAACATCTGTTGGTATCAAACAAGTTGATGTACGAGTAATTCTAAATATTTGAGAAATATATTTTTTCTCAAGGCTACAGGTTATTTTCTTAATACATCAACAGTAAGTAACATTGTTTTCACTTGAGCTACAGAGATTATTGATGGTTTTCATTACTCTATAGATGTATAACTATTGTAATAATACATCATCTAGTTTAAAATCATTTTCTATCTATTAGATTAAGCTTTCTTTCTAATGTTGTTTTTGTTGTGTAAATTAATTTTTCTTTTGTAGATTTGCAGTTGAGCTGCTATTTTTCTATACCGAATCTAAAAATGTTGTCATCAACTCAATTATTATCTGTTTTATCAATTACACTAGGTAAATTCTATATATATATCTATAAAATCTTATTCTATCTAAATATTTCATTTAGTTGTACTTTCTGTGCATTTTGTAAATGGTGTTCCTATAAATTCAGACTCATCCGATGAAATAAATTCAGTAATCAATGATGCAACTAAACTAGTTGATGATGAACCAATGTTCTACAAACGAAAATTACCTCTGGAAGGTATTCTAATTGGTCGACGAGATTTTCCAAATGATGGTAGTTTACTTGACAAACGCGATTATTCAACAGAAGGAATTTTACTTGGAAAACGTCAATACCCATTCGAAGGAATTCTACTTGGAAAACGTAACTATCCAACCGAAGGAATACTTTTAGGCAAACGTGATTTTCGTTTATTCGCACCGAAACCAACATTTTATAACTGATCCGAAAGCTGACTTGGTTTAACATGAAAAATAGATATGAAAAGAAAACAATTATATATATTTTTTTTCCAAGTTATTCATTTTCTTTTTACATTGTTCGCACATAATCTTACGTTTGAATATAATATAACTTAAGAAACAATAAAGGAATAAAAAACTAACATCAATAAATAAAATAAATTCAATCTGTTTCTTTTTTGTCTTCCTTGATCTTTCATTCACTCATTCAATTATAATAAACAATCGTAGATTTAACAGCGAAGAAAAAAGTAAATATATAAATAACGGATAGAGTACAATGATACTAATTTAAAAAAATATGATAATTTTATTGTTTGTTTAAGATATATATATAGGTATATTCTCAATAGGTTAATAATAATAGGTCTTTTTTTATTAATTTCGAATAAAATCAAGATGAAACAAAATCGAATAAAGAAAAGAAAGAGAGGACAAAGAAAGCGTTTGTTTTTTACAGTGAACAATAGAACGCAAAGGAAATAGACAAACAGATAGAAGCTGAAAAAAGAAGAAATATATGAATATACAGCAACAAAGGACGTCGCCGATAGAAAAAAATGATTTTTAATGTTGATCATTGATTCTATGAACCTTCTTGACCAAATTCTTGAGTAAACTTTTTTTGTGATAATAGATCAGATTCACCTACTGTTGGTTTTTGTGTAACAAGAGCAGCTAACATATCCGACTAGAAATAATTAAAATTAGTATTGATTTATACGCATAAGAAATTCTGAATACTGACCATGGTGACTGGGGGTTCACATAATTCATTAGATTTTATTTTATCTAATGTAAGTTCTTGAGCATCTGGGTCTCCAGGTGAACAAACAAGCCAAAGATATTGAGGACCATCAGGTTTTGGATTTGACATCTATGTTAAAATCATCAAATTATTCAATCAGTAACAAAGACCGAAGAAAATCTACTCGTTTGAAATGAGTTGCTGAACCAAGTCGTCGAATAGGTCTTAGTAAAGCTTCTCGACAAACAACAGCAATATCAGCACCAGAATAACTAAACATCAAATATAATTATCTTCTATTTCGTAAAAAGCAAAAAAAAACTTGCTGTTCAGCTCTTTGTGCCAACTGCATCCATTCATTGTCTTTTATCATATGGTAAGTACTAACACCTAAATGTATTTTAAACATAGCTGCTCGTTCATTTACACCAGGTAGTGGAATATAAATTCTCTTTTCAAAACTAAAATAATTTCAAATAATAAACATATATCATGGGTTTGATGTAAAGTATATACCGTCGTCGAATAGCTGTATCCAATGCCCAAGGAATATTAGTGGCTGCAAGAACAAGAACACCTGAATTATCTGTTCCAACACCTAATCAAACATCAAAACATAAGATTTATTCATTCTTATGATTATCAACAATCAATATACCTTCCATTTGAACAAGAAATTCAGTTTTGACACGTCTTGATGATTCAGATTCAGTATCATTACGTTGTCCACATAAAGCATCGATTTCATCAATAAATACAATACACGGTTGTCGGTCACGAGCAAGTTCAAATAGACCTTTGACACCTTTTTCACTTTCACCCAACCATTTCGAAAGAAGATCAGATGAGCTCACCGAAATGAATGTACTTTTACATTCAGTAGCAATAGCTTTAGCTAAGTAAGATTTACCAGTACCAGGAGGCTAAAATGAAAATGAAAAGATAAAATCGTTTGAGAAAGTTCAAACTTACTCCATATAGTAAAATACCAGCCCATGGTTTACGTTTTCCTGAAAACGATAGAAGAACAATAGAAATAACATATTTTTTTTTTTACTACAGTGCCCTTCAAAAGTCTCGCAGCACTTCATTGTTTTAAGTCATTTATTTAAACTACAGAACATTAATTTAATTCGACTATATGACTGCATACTATAAGTAGAGTACTCTGTATATATACACCTGTTTTATACAGTAGAGCTTTGAAAATGAAATACAATAAAAACAAACCTCAGTACTAAGAGAAAAATGATATTATCATTATGAAAGATCTTGTCGAATTAGGTGAATTATTCACAATTGAGATGCTACGGCAGTGTGTTGTATATCCTTCTCTCAACCACACTTATACTAACATCCTCACTATCAGTGAAAAAATTATGGTAAATTGTATAAGCTTGCGGTTCCTGAAAAGCTCTACAAAATTGTAAGATAATTTTTTTTTACAAAAACTTTCGACTAATATCAAGAACGACAATCATTAGTAACTAATTATGCTCTAAGTGCATAGTCGTCTAACAGTAAATTGATATCAGTTCTTCCAAAGTGTTATGAAAACAAAGTTTATCATATATCATTGGGTGAGCCTTGACCATGTTCTACAACATAGTATATTTGATTTTTCAATTTTGCATAAGTGGCCTAATCCAACAGGCAGAGGTGCAAAATCTTCCAAAAATCCAAAAATTTCCCCCCACGCAAAAAAATTTTCTGGAAAATTTCCCCGTTGTATTTTTTTTGCCCAGCAGATTTTTCCAAAATTTCCCTATTGTTTGAGTTTTTCAAAAAATTTCCCCTCCCAAGCCGGGGCGCATGAGGAAGATCCTGCACCTCTGCCAACAGGATTCTTTGGAATAATAATGTCATTTTGTCTTTTTTTCTCGACACTGAAGTTTGTTGTTTTTTTAATTGCATTTTATATTTAAGGCTTTATCGTATTAAATTAATACTCTGTAGTGTAAATGTACAACTCAAAACAATAAAGTGGTGAGAGATTTTTTATGTGCACTGTACTATATATACCTTGAAAAAGTTGTGGAAATTTCACCGGTAAAATAACAGCTTCTTTCAATGCTTCTTTAGCTTGGTCTAACCCGATTACATCATCAAATGTTACTTTCGGATCAGTCACAATAGCGCCTAAGTAAAACAGACATGATATGTTTTATATTAGAAATATAAACATGGTAAACTGACCTTCAAATTTTTGCATCATACGTTTTCTATCTGGATCACCGCTATCGTCATCATCTCCTTTGTTATCTTTCGAATTTCCACGTCCATTAGGACCATCAGCAACAGCTTTCTTTTTAGATGGGCCCTTCTTCAAAATTTCTTTTATTTCTTCTGCTCGTTTTACATAACTTTCTATTTTAGGTCGTATGGTTTGTTTCATTTGAGTATTCATTGCTCCATCTAAAATTTAAAAATGATTTTTAAATAAAAACCGAACTTATTTACTAACATTTCATTGCTTGCATAAGCCAATCTGCTGCAGTCATATAATGTTGTGCAGCAGCTTCATAATTATGTGCTTTATCTTCAGCTGTAGCTTGTTCAGCGCTCTTAATTCCTTTCTAAAATTAAAAAACTATGTTTAGTAAAAATTAGTGTTAGAACAATTACCTGAATATAATCACTTTGACCACTGCTCATCGTTTCAATGAATATAACGAGCAAGATGAAATTAACTATATGAAAAATATTAAACAAATCGAATCAATAACAAACACAATAGAACAAAGACAAATTCATATCTAAAACAAATGATTATTAATCAATTGAATTGATTTTCTCATACGAAATGACGTTTATGATGAATAAATCATAAAGAGAAAACTAAAAATGTTGTTTATTTATTCATATACGTTTGAATCAAGTCAGAAAAAAAGCATAATGTTGAATAGAACATGACTCATCGATATCTTCAATTAATATATCTGACGAGAGTCAAATAAGAAATTAATATATAAATCTTTTAATATAATCAAACGCAAATAATTACTAAAAATAACAAAAAAAACGCGAGTAATTTTATAAAATTCTTGTCCTAAGAATTTTTTTTCTTATCATTGCATGACAATATTGATTACTCATTTTGATAGATGGCAGGAGTAGTCATTCTAGACAAACATCGAGCATGTGTTTTCTATAGCATTGATTTAATATTTTAAAGATTTTCTATATTTATTTTAAAAATATTCTTCTACCATGCAATTTTCAAACTGGAAATCGGAACGAAATTAATTTATTTTATTATGATTATAATGCTTAAATGGCATTTGTCCTCTTTGATAAACAATGGAATGAGAAAATAACACGCCGTTATTGTTGATTGATACATCATTGTGTCAACAAAGAGAAAAAACAGATACGAACACAAAATTAGAAAGAATCATTTTTTGAGTAGAAGAATGAGAAATCTTTTTTCGAACTATATGCACAGCAACTATGATTTACACAAGACAACAGACCAACAATTCAAATCATACATCGTGCTTATAACTATTAATATGTTTATCTTGGAATATTTATTAATAGTGTACTAAATGAAAAAGCATAAACTACAGGTAGAATAATACAAAACAATTTATTATAATAAATAGAGATAATTATTATTTCAAAAACTCATATTAATAAAATAATAGTCTTTATTTTATTATGTTTATGAATCATCTTCACCAAATTCTTGAGTAAAATCTCGATATTTGAACATAATCCACTAAAATGTGTGTATATCTCAAGTTTCATCTATTGTGATTACTTGAGCATTTGTATCATCATGTGAACAAGCGGATCAATTTTGACATCTGTATAGAGATCATAAAAGATACTACATACAACAATTCACAAGAAAACTACTTATTTGAAATGTAGTGTTGAAATGAATTAAAGAAGAGATCTAAAGAACACTTCACGGCAAACAATCAAAATATTAACATTAGAATAACTGCGACGAAAAGATAATTATTCTCTATATCATGAAGTATAAAACATGATTTACAGTTATTTCTGCTAAGTGCTTGTATTCTAATACATTTTACACATAACTGCTCCTTCATTTAATTCAGATAGTGTAATATACATTCTCTTTTTAAATCTAACAAATCAATAGACATAATGTCAAATACTTTGATTAAATAGATAAATATAAATACTAAATCTTTGTTGAATAGGTGTATCCAGTGTCCAAGGAGTACTAGTAACGGCTACAATCAAAACACTCGTGTTGTTCATTTCAATACGTAATTCATCAAGATAGAGATTATTTGAAATTATTCATTTAGATCATAAGTAAAAAGTACTTTCCATTTGAATTAGAAATTCTTTTTTTTTATTCGTTGAAATAATTCCAAATTTGAATCATAAAGTTGTCTAGGCAAACTATCAATGAGTAAAATATATGGTTGTCACTGATGAATTGATCTAAATAGAGATTTAACACATTTTTTTATTATAATTAAGATATTTTGACTGATATTCCCACGAGTTTGCAGAAAAAAAAATGTTGTTTTACATTCGGTAGCAAACTATTTATCTAAATAAATTTTACCAGTACCACGAAGCAAAGAAAGAGAAAAGAAAATATGAGATCTATCTAGAATTTAATATAATCACTCGATGAAGCACGACAAAAGTCGACGATTTATTTTTATTTAATAATAAAAGCATAATATGACGATACAATTTTGCTCAAGACATACTTTTGTTACCTTGGCAAAATTTTGAATACTTAACATGACAATTTAACAGCTTCAAATAATATTGTTTAAACATTTTGATAAACCAATAATGTCATCAAATATCATTTCTAGCTCCTGTTATAAATACAATAGAAAATGTATTGGATAGCATAGCTCTGCTATTATGATTTTTATTTTTTAAATCTTATATTGACTTTCGAATTCATCGACAAATAATTTTCGTATATGTTAGACAATTTTTGTAAAGTTGAACTTCAAAATATATACACGATGTTATCTTAAAGGATTCTCGTTATTAAACTATTATTGATCTAATAATAGATTTATCTTGTAAGAATATTAGTCATGTATGATTTTTTCAACTTGAAAAAAGTGAATATTCGCAAAGTATATTGAAATATTTTCAATTAAGTAAATTCACGAATATGAATGTACATATTTAATTGTATACCACTATATACTAAGCCAGTACAGTTGGTGCTTATTTAACGACGGGAATAGTTTATGTGAATACTAATTAAGACAGTAATATGGTTAAATTTTCGTGAAGTTATTTTATTGTTGAGATGTAGAATTGACCATAAATAATCCATTCGTCTTGAATGACATAAGAATTGAATTTTTTACGTCTCTTCAAATTTATCTTGTTATTCTATCTGTATAATGCTGAAAACATAATTGTTATGATTTATTTTTTTTTGAAACAAGAATCATTTTCAGGGAACAAATAAAGTTAAATATTGTCAAAGTCGGCTATTTTCTTTTTTAAAACATGGAATCATTGATTCTGACTCAGATTCGAAATCAGCCATTTCATATTGTTAAGTTTTCACATAGAAGAAAGACTATAACAGAAGTTACAGGTTTCTATCGTTTATAGAAAAGAAGTTATTTAAAAGTGGCCGTGAAATACTTTTTGACTGTTCATTAGTTCTAATTAAGTTTTTAGTATGAAGATTATGATATTGATGAGTTTATAGAGAAAATAAAATAATTCTAAAAAAAAACATTTTTCATATTATTCACTACTAATGGGTCGACAATGACCCAAACTGTGATGATAAATGTTACTTTCACGTCTATAATCAAGAAATTTAAAAAATGATTCTGTAAGTAGATTATGTCAGCAGTATTCATATATCAACCATACAAACATCAACATGATCAGTTAGTGGAACTGAACAAAAAGAAAAACAGATTGTTTTACTTTCTTTTTAATAAGGAACATTGTTTTCTAACTCATAAAATCTTACCAAAGAATGATGAGAAGAAATTTAATATTTGATGTGTTCATAGCTTATTGACAGAATAATATCACGACATAGTTTAGTACTCTCATCAGTATGTATCACTATCACATAAATTCTAATTTTCAAATGTTTTGTTATCTGTTCTGAATTTTTATTTTCATTATCATATTTGTTTCTTTTCTTACTTTTAAAACCGCCAAAACCCCAGGTATCTTTAATGGATGTTTCTATTTTCATAATACTCTTAATTTCTTCAGCTCGTTTTAGATAATGTTCGAATTTAGCATGTCCATTCAGCTTCATTTCAACGTCCATAAATCCGTCTTAATGGCATACACAAATTAGCTTTCGGTTTCCTCAAGAATTTACTACGACTACTATTTGTCATAGATATAAAATAGTCTGATGCAACCGAATAGGGTTTACCTTCAAAATGGAATTGCTTGGCGCATTGGACACCTTTCTGTCAAGTAATAAAAAAATCATGTCTATTCTATTTTAAAGCCATACTTCTAAAATATTCATTAGATCAATATTCATTTTTTTAATAATTTTCTTGAAGGAAGAAACCAATAGGTAAAGTACGGTATTCAAATCAATTAGGTATTCATCTACAAATATCAATAATAGAGCATGCTCAATGGGCGATAAACATATTTCACATTTATTCATACAATAGCTATACTATAGTAGAGTCCATGAGAATACCTAGGAATCACTATATGTTTAGTACAAAAGAGAAGAATAATCATGAAGAACAAATCAGTTAGCATAACTTTAACAAATCACTTATTCTTTCGATTGATATATCTTCTGTTTCTTCAATAAGAAAACGTTTTTCTTTCATTCGTAAAGATATTTTAGTACGAGATCTAAATTGAACTTACAATTTGTAAATATTAGTGAAATCTATTATATCTCTAATGAGAAATTAGATGAGAGTAGATGTATTTCGTCAGTGAATGTGAAAACTAAAATAAAATCAATAGATAGTAATAGTGAATACTTGAGAACCATAATTCTAGATGAATCATTTAAAAATTCCAGTAACCAACATCTATTTTGATAAAACCTAGGAAATCAATCATAATGCGTGGCATTGTAGATTTCCTCCTTGCTCAAAAATTCACATGTAAAACACAATGTTGATTCAATAATTTCTGATTATTTTCATAAAAAAAAACAAAAAGAAAAATGTCACAGTTCAAATCCAGTTATATAAAAAAATGGATCAACAAAAAATATATATATTATGATCAATTGAATGTAAAATAAAAACAAATGTCAGTGATTATTAGGATGGTTTGTAGAAAAATATTAATACTTATAATTTTTCGTTTATTTTATTTATAAACCTTCTTGGCCAAACTGTTGAGTAAATTGTTGATATTTTCCCAACTCATTTTCACTTACTGTTGATTGTTGTGTAGCAAGTGCAGCTAACATATCCGACTAAAAAGAAATTATATATCTCAATATCTAACTTAATTAATGAATTTTTCTAATCACTAACCATGGTTACTGGAGGTTCACACAATTCATCAGGGCTTATTTTTTCTAATGTAAGTGATTGAGCCGCTGAATCTCCAGGTGAACAAGCAAGCCAAAGTTCTCTTGGACCATCATGTTCTGGATTTTGCACCTATGTTAAAACCCAAAAGTTATTAAATGAGCAACAATGATCAAAGCGAGTTTACTCGTTTGAAATGAGTTGATGCACTAAGTCGTCGAATAGGTCTTAGTAATGCTTCTCGACAAACAACACCAATATCAGCACCAGAATAACTAAAATCGAATATAATTATCTTCTATTTCGTAAAGAACAAAAAACTTGCTGCTCAGATCTTTGTGCCAACTGCATCCATTCATTGTCTTTTATCGTATGGCAAGTATTAACACCCATATGTGTTTTAAACATAGCTGCTCGTTCATTCACACCGGGTAGTGGAATATAGATTCGCTTTTCAAAACTAAAATAATTTCAAGTAATAAATATGCATCATAGGCTTGATGTAAAGTATACCGTCGTCGAATAGCTGAATCCAATGCCCAAGGAATATTAGTGGCTGCAAGAACAAGAACACCTGAATTATCTGTTCCAACACCTAATCAAACATCAAAATATAAGATTTATTCATTCTTATGATTATCAACAATCAATATACCTTCCATTTGAACAAGAAATTCAGTTTTGACACGTCTTGATGATTCAGATTCAGTATCATTACGTTGTCCACATAAANTAAGTTTTCCACCGTTTCCACGCTTGCAAATTGACTATTTTGTACAAAAAACGTCGTTTCTTGCGTTTTTTTAATGAGCGTCAATGGATCACAGTCGCGGTTCCCGATTGTGCGCTTAAACGCGTTTTTCGAAAGTTTTGTCTGCCTGTGTAGAGCCAGTCAGATCTAAAATTTTGCCATTCTGACCCAGTTAATAGAAAATTTTTAGAACTGGACCTGATTAGACCCTGAACCAACCCGACAGTTTCTACTCCCCAGTGAATTAAAAATTTGACTACAACATATCTCATACATGTTTTCTTTTCTTTTCTAGCAATCCATTCAAGCTTCTTGTCAAAATGTATTAAATCCTGTTCATCAATGTACACGTCCAGCATATATAATTGTTCGTTATAAATCTAAACAACAATGTCAAACATCAAATCAACGTTTTGAAGTAGTCTTAAATGAACATAAACAATTATTAACTGATGCATGTCGTTCATGTGATATTGATATTTGTCGTTCAATTGATTTACTGATACATATTGTACAACGTTTAACACGACAATTATCATCAACATTCTTAAATGAAAATCAAACATTAAAAATAATTGAAATCGGTACACAATTATTTTATTCATTATTATTAGTTTATAATGATAAATATAATGAATATATGCAACCATTATCTGAACAATTAAATTCATTATATGATACACTTGGTGAAATATTTGTTAAATCTGATCCTCGTCAACCACAAAGTATATTAGAATATATTGTTTTGAATCGTCCAAATATTTCACGTCTTATACCATATTTTAATCCAAATTCATTAATTGAATCGGAAAAATTTATTGATATTTATAAAAAATTATCAAAAATGTTTACATTTGTTGAATATAAACCATATTTATTACAAATGTTTAGAAAATTTAATGTTAATCAATGGTTTGAAAATCCAACAAATTTAAATCGACGTTTAACATTTATTGATACATTATTTAATCATTTTCGTTCATTAATTGAAAATTATAAATTAGCTGCTAAACGTGATAATCCACCTGATTATGATGAATTACCATTAATTGAACAAACAAGTCAATTATATGATGTATCAATAGGTCATATGATACAAATATTAAATTGTTCATATCCATCACAAATTGGATTTTTATTTCGTTTTATTATTGAAAGTATACAAATAATGAGAAAAAAACAAAAAATAATTCAACAACAAAATAATTCTTTAGTACCATTAGAATTTCAACAATCAATTGAACGTGGACTTTTACCAGCAAAAATTTTATCGGAATTTCTTGATCAAGTTCATTATTTAGAAAATACATCAATAATTAAACTTGGAAAACAACAAATTGACGAAATGCTTAATTGGTTACATACATTTGTACTTGCACAAATTGTAAGAATTATTGAAAATTTTCGATTTAGAATTATGTTTGAAATGATAGATTTTTAGCTTCATTAGGTTGAACTATGAACAAAAGATTTACTCTATAGTAGAGAGTTTAATGTGCTAAGACTTATTGTACGAAAATTCTTTTTTTGTTCGTAAGACAAAAAGAAATTTTTTAATACAAAGGAACGTTCTATGATGTTTTTGATTAAGTTTTGTTCTATTGATAAATCGTTATGAGTTTCTTTTATTGAAGTTTGAAAAATCTTGAATTTGCTTGTAAAAACTTGGCTTTTATATCTTTAAAAAAACTAAAACATAATCTCACCATCCTTCAGAAGAAAAACATGAATAGAAAAATTTGACCTGGTAGTTACATTCCGAATTATATAATTTGATGTATACATATAAGGGGTTTTGCTATCAGCAAATATTTCGGACTGCTGACATAGATTCTTTTTGTAAAGTCCTTATATAATGGAGCTAATACACTGTTACATAATTCATAAAAGTTTATTTTAAGTTTTCCAATGGTCAAAACTTTTTCTAATGGTTTGACATTTCATTATATAAGCATATTAATTATTTTGTTTCGAATGATAACTAAAGAATTGATTTGATACTTCCGTATAAACATAAAACAAAGCAGTTTTCTATTATAATTTAGGATGAAAAAAGTGATAAATGTTTAGTTCAATTATATCAATCATGGCGACCATGTTCAAATGAATTAACACGAATTTATTCAATAATGGTTATTTTAAATATTCAAAAACGTCGAAATCATCATGATATGAATATATCTCAAATATTTGAACAAATATTTTTACTTTATAGTCCATTTATTGATCCAACATATTCATTATTTTCTTTGTCAGAATGGAAAATAATAATCGATCATCATGGTGATATGTTAACACGTATGATAAAAACATTTATACAATTATCTGAAGAATTATTTAAATATATTAATGAATCATATAATTATCAACAAGAATTTTTTCATTGTATATTTCAATATTGGTATAAAGTTGTTAAATGCTTAATAACAAATGAATATACACATTCAATACTTGATATTTATCATCGATATTTACAAGATATAACATGGTCTAATTATCGATTAACAATTGAATGTTTATTAATATTTGATGAATTAATTAATGCAAATAATTCTGAAAACATTCCATCAACATCATTATATGAATTTATTATTTATATTTTATCATCAATTGATATACATTCATGGATGATTGAAAATGATGAAAAATTAATTATGTCATTAGTACCTTGTCATTTTCGTTTATTAATTAATATTTTTTTAAGTCCACAAGCAAAATATACACAAGTAAGAATAGTTTTGTAAAAAAAGAAATTTCAATAAAATATTGATTGTGTTATTTTGTATATTTAGAATAATGATAATTTAAGTCGTTTAGCAAGTCAATGTGAATTAATTAATTGGAGTTATTTAGATTTTGATACATATGTTAACGTTATTAATTCAATTATGTCAAAATTTGATCATGATTTTATTCTTGCACCAAGAGCTTCAATTAATGGATATTTAAATAGGTATGTGAAAGATTTTCATTAAGAATAGTTCCTCGTTTCGGAAGGTTTCTGAAGAATGACTCATCAAAAAAAGTGGAAAAATTTTTGTGACGGAAATGCTTCGCTGTTGCTCTCAGATGCTATGTTCAATCAAGGTGAAAATTTTTTTACAGGTAGTAAACACTGTTATCTGGTGGGTATCTTTTTATTTTTTGTTCTTCGAATAAAAAAGCTAAAATATTGAAGGCATGCAAGAAAACACTTTTTTTTTAAAAAGAACTGTCAAAAATTAGCAGAACAATATTTTTCGAAATAACAAAAAAACTACGCATTTCAAACAGTGTATAGTATATGTGTGGCATCTCAAACTGATTATGTTCACTGCATGAATATTGAAAGGAATATGTTATATGAAAACAGAAAACCTCAGTCTATATATTTTTGTGAAACACGATCTTAAGTGAATGTTGAAGTATAAGGATGAAAATTTCTGTCCTCCTACTGACCATGATAGACGTTGTTGATATGTGACCACAGACTATATATTAATAACATCTGGTTATAATGTGTGAACTACTTCCTGATTGTATTTGTAAAGAATTAAGTAAAGGTAGGGTGAAGAAATATATCCCAAGAATCTATAGAATAAAACAAATTTCTTTATGATCACCAATAGCAACTGTATTGTGTTTTACACTTCCATTCAATAGGAATTGCACTAACAGTCTTTTACTTATACTTTTTTTTTAAACCGTTTAACAAATCAAGTATAGCGCTTTTCCTTTTGTGAAAATTCGCCTGTAAAACGCTGGAATTCTGCTGAAAAAAAAAATCAAAAATTTTTGAAGAGTGAATCACCTTCGGATCAGGACACCTCTATGAATAGCACTAGTAGAAAAACGAACTGTTTATACGGTTCAAAATTCAACTCTTGTCTTTTTTTTTCTTTTCCTATAGAATCCTTCGTTGTGCTTCTGAATTTAATTCTTCATCACTTGCTACTGATCGTATACATTTTAAACGTTTATGTTATCTTCGTTTATTTGAACAATGTTTAATTAATGCTAAAAATCAACATGATCAAGATGATTATCGTTTAACATTAATTAATTTACTTAATGATATTGAATCATTAGCATTACAAGGAAAATTATCTTCGAATGATGAACTTGTTGATATATTTATTGAATTAATACGCTTTCTTAATATAAATTCATTTGGACAAACAATATTAAATTCATATCAAAATTATTTTCTTGATTGGATACGTCATAGTCAAAATTCAATAGCAATGTTATCATTATTTACTAGTATATGTCGAACATTAAAAGATCGTAATAGAAAAATTTTATTTATAGAATCTATTCTTTATATTTATTTTCAATATGATCAAGAACATAATTGGTCCATAATATTGAATTTATTTCAACAAAATGAAGATTTAATAAATTTTAAAATTGATGATTATATACAAATATGTTGTGAACATAGTGCTTTTTTATCATTATATCTTATTTCAGAATATGAATTAAGATATAATAAACAAATAAATAATGAAAATATCTTACATAACGAATTTAAATATCTTGAAAAATTAATTGATTTATTTACAAATGGAAAATTACGTATTAAATATGGTGAAGAAGAACTTGTTTTATTAATGATGATTAAAATAAATCAAATAATTAAACATCAATTAGATTATGGAAAAAGTACTGATATTTTATTAATACGTTTAATAAGAAATTATGCTAATTGGCTTTTGGCATGCGGAACAGATAATAAAGATAATGCTTATGGTGGAATATTTGCTATGATTGGAATTGGAAAAAGGGTCCAATATTCTCTCAGGTAAAATATTTTGTAATTGCAATTCAAAATTGAACTTAGCGTAAACCATCAAGCTCTGGTCAAGACAAGTCAGACTTGGTCTGAAAAATTGAAATTGAGATGATAGTTCGAGATCTGATATTTTAAAACTTTTCTCTTCGTAAAAAGTATGAATTTTAAAAAATGGCGCATTTGGTTGCGAAATAACCTATTTTTGACTCTTGTTTGTTGAATATGTTCCGAAAACGTTATGGTATAAAACTGAAAACCAAGATCAATTTTGGGAATCTCAATAAAAGACAATCGGAATTAAAATTTGATTCGAAATAATCTCAGCTCATCTTTTTGTTTGCGTCAAATCAATGACACTATTGTCTTGATATTGGTGTTAGATACATAAAGTGTTTTATTTAGATTTTGTTTTCTAGAATAGCCATACAAAACTCGTCAAAGATCACTGACTTTTAGACGAGCACAGTTCTTTCAGCGTTCTAAGCATTTTCTTTTTAGAGGCGAATAAATCGACCAAAGAATTACGAAAATGATCATTTATTCGTGTGATTTTTTCAGGAAAAGTTCTGTTCACATAATAAACAATATGGATAAAAAACGGCACTCGATTGAAGTAGTCAATAAAAACCTATAAAAATAATTAATATAAAGATTAAATGACCAGTATTTAATTACAAAATGGTCAGCTTATTAGATACAAGTAGCAAAGATAAATTCTCACTCCACATTTAGATCCACGATGCTTGCCTTAGTTCCATCTGTAATAAACTGTTCTTCTATTATCTGTATAGTTCCTATAGTGTTTTGACCATTCATTTGCAGTTGATACTTTTGTTTGATTAGCATTATTAAATATATCCTCAATACACCACTTTCATGTTGAGTAAGGTGTTGACACAGAGCATAACGTGCAATCATCTTTTCTGTATAATACAAAAATAGAAGGGAAAAAAGTGAATCATACTATAAGGTAAATTCAATTTCTATATTTATCTTTTGATTTGACTGTTAGCAAATTTTATTTACTGAAAATTTAAATTTATTAACAAGTTTAATTTAACACTAACTGACTGTTAAAGTTATTTACTGATCATTTCATCTACTTTATCAATTGAATATTTTGTTCTCATGATGAATTATTTAATAGAATATGAGCTTTAGATTTCCATAGATTTAATGATAGATTTTTTTCACATTCGTTTCTTTTCCATTCAAACAATTATCATCTGATATAACCTTTTGTTTTTCAGTCTGTAAAAATTACATGAAAATATTCTTATTTCTCTCTGTATAGGTTTCGTTTATTTACTAAATTAGTTGGTATTATGCAATTGCAACAATTAACAGATGAACCATTGAAAATTCGTATTGATTCGAATGATCGTCATCTAGATCTCTCATCAGCAAATAATGCAATACTTAAACAAAATTTAACAAATTTATCTTTATCAACGACAATAAATGAATACAGTGATTTTAAAGGCGAACTCACTCATTGTAACAGTGAATATTTACAACGTACTGATGTGACTTTTTTTCATGTTTCTGATTTAATTCATTACTTATGTACACATCTATTTGCTGATCTGCCATATTTGACTTATGTATCTAACCATGACTCGCGATGATTAGTACCGATTTTTTTCTTTTCTTCTGTGTATAATGCTTCGTTTTTTTTTTTGTAATTATCGCTCTCTTTTATACATATATAAGATGAAAAATGCTTGACCGTTCTTCTTTCGTTTTGAGACACATACATTCAAACAATCAAGAAAGAGGTTTATCAGTTTAAAAGAATTTTTTCTTTCAGTACATTCTTTAGATATGACTGCTGAGGATGATAATAAAAAATGGTTTCGAGAAGTAAATCCAAGTTTTTGGCCTGGCCAATCATTTTCACTTGAAATTGATGAAATTCTTTATCATCAACAATCAAAATATCAGAATGTTCTTGTTTTTAAAAGGTAAATTATTATTAATTATGTAATTTTACTTTTTTTCTTTATATATATATTTCTAGTAAAACATATGGTAATGTACTTGTTTTAGACAATTGTATTCAATGTACAGAACGTGATGAATGTGCGTATCAAGAAATGCTTGCATTTCTTCCTTTACTTGCACATCCTAATCCAAAAAAAGTACGTTATGCATAAACAAAAAATTTTTTTTTATAATAAATTCTTTATAGGTATTAATTATTGGCGGAGGTGATGGTGGTGTTCTTCGTGAAGTTGTTAAACATCCACAAGTTGAGCAAGCTGTTCTTTGTGAAATTGATCAAGTATTTTTTATTATTATTATTTTTGTTTTTTTGTATCACATATAAAAAAGTACTAAAATGTTTATTTATAGGATGTAATTGATGTTAGTAAGAAATATCTACCTAATATGGCTAAAGGTTTTTCTAGTCCAAAAGCAGTCATTAATGTTGGTGATGGATTTGAATATTTAAAAAATCATAAAAATGAATTTGATGTGATTATTACAGATTCATCTGATCCTGAAGGTAATTATTTATTTTTTATGAAACTAATTAATTAATATGAGATTTAATTTAGGTCCAGCAGAAGCTTTATTTCAAGAATCCTTTTATTCATTATTAAAAGCAGCCCTTAAGCCACCGCATGGTATTATTTGTTGTCAAGGTGAAAGTATCTGGCTCCATTTAGATTTGATCAAAAAAATAGTAACATATACTCGTAATGTTTTTCCAACAGTTGCTTATGCTTTTGCTTCAACACCAACATATCCAAGTGGTACTATTGGATTTCTTCTTTGTAGTCTTGATAAAGTAAAAAGAAAAATTTATTTTTAAGATACTGAAATTCATATTTAATGTTGTTTTTTTTTTCTTCTTTTCTCTAGGACAAAAAATTAAATGAACCTGTTGATGAAAAACTTATCGATCAACTTGATACATGTTTTTATACAGGTGAAATTCATCGTGCTGCTTTTGCATTACCTGCTTTCGTTCGAAAGGTAGTTAGTTTTAAATAATGGAAAATTTATTTATTAAAATGGACATTTTCTTTTCTTTTTTCATTAGGAGTTGAACGATACGAAGCAATAATGAATAAGAAAATGTCAAAGCGGTGTTGTTAGTTTAAACTATTCCGTTTTATTAATTCTATTCGAAATAAAACAAAAAAATGATCAGAAAATGAAGAAACTAATAGTTGATTTAATTATCACAGTTATAAGATATAAAAAAACCAGATTCTCGAATGATCATATAAACGAGTAATAACGATCAAAAGAGATCGTTAGAATACTTTCAAAGTTCAATTTATTACATGAGTTAATAAATATAGAATTCGTTGATTCAGTGGTATATCGTTTTTTGCTATTTGTAATTATTTTATTGAAAAGAAAAAAATGACTCATGCTCGTGATGTTATATAGAACATAGTGTCTTGGAACTAGATATATGCAAGATAGTCGTGCCGCGACCAAGGTCAACATTTTTCCATTGAGAGCAATATCTTTTATGATTGTGTAAAACTTTCATCGAATGTCATACTGTTACAACTAGACATGTGCGAGACAAATTTTTTTGGTTTCGGTCGCGCTCATGTCAACTTGAAATCAAGATTTGCATCACTTGATCTTTTAGTTATTAATCCTATTACGAGTGATCTGATGAAATTTTTTAAGATTTGTTTTTTTTATCTTATTCTAATTCAGCATAACCGATAACAAGTATTATTAATGAATCATTCACTTTTGAATAAATATTTTTCTTTTCGATATTTGTTAATAAGTGTCTAGCAATCAGACAGTACTAGTCTATTATTGTCTATTTTTTTCTTTCTTTTTTGAAAGAATATAGATCAGTTTGAAATATAAACAACATGATGATAGATGATATGTGATAAGAATCTGAATGAATATAAAATGACTCATCATATTCATGTATCCATTATATTAAATTAGCAAAAATAGCCTTCTATCACTTTACTATCATTTTCATCATTATATCATATTAAGTAACTTTTCAATCTGATGTTTCATTTCGAAGGTTTCTTCTCATTAGAAAAGAAAAAAGGTCACCGAACACTAATTTATTCTTCTATCTTGATATAAATCTTGTCACATAAGCTAATTACATCTGACAGAACGAGTAACAATATTCATTGATGTGGCATGATAAAATGCTTTATGTCTGTTTCTAAATAACGTATTGAATATCATCGTTCGACAGATTTCTCAACTGTTTATTTATTTATTTATTTTTTTCCAGTTAAACATACAAAACTAAACTCAGATCAAAGAAGATCAAACAGTAGTATAGATTTTTGTCATGAAATCTAAATCAACGTCTCGCTCATCAAAAAAACAAAAGAAAAAAGTCGCTACTTCTTATTACAATCATGTCTATTTGAATATAAATTTTTAATGCGGCTCCATTTAATCCTTTCGAATGAATGTCATATGTAAACATCATCAGTTTCTTTTTATGTAATCAACGTTCATCATCTTCCCAATCTTATTCAAATATACAAACTTCATATATTTCGTTAAGTTCATTAAACAAAACTCATATTGCATATTTAATATAAAGGAAATAAATTTCAGATCATCGTAAAATCATCTTTTTGCTTTTCAAGAAAGTATTATCAGCTTATAGAAAAAAAAAAACTCTAGCTCAATATCCGGTGATAGTGCTAACATAAATATCATTTCATCTCTAACCGAAACAATCAATAGTTCTCCTTTATTAAACATATACATTAAACAAAATGTGTAGAGAAAAAAACAAAAAAAAAAAAATAAGAAATTCCATTGAAAACAAATATAGACAAACATAACCAACTGACATCACTAAAATACAAACAAAATAGAACATGTTTTATTCAATAATATAATCATACCTTAGGAGAAGAAGAAAAAAAAAACAAGTAATTCTATTTATCACAGTTTCATCAAACAAAACTATTCAAATTATCGTATTTGAAATAAACTACTGTGAATAATAGATAAAAACAATATTATTATATGATATGTATTATTAACACCTAGAAAATAAAATAATATATAATTATTAATTATTAATTATATTAATTTACTTTTTGAGGAAAGTGTCATCATTCTTAAACTTTCTGTTGAATGAGATACTATTGTTATAGGTCGTACATATTTTGTACGTTGATATCGTGTTGTAAGTCTTTCCGTTGTTGTTGTTGTTGTTGTTGTGGTTATTGTTGTTGTTGATGAAGCAATTAATTGAATACTTTTTGAATTAGTTCCAATTAAATTTGAAGCTATACATGTATATTCACCTTGATCATTACTTGTCAAATATTTTATAATTAATTCTGATACAACATAATTTCCTATGTGATATAATTGATAACTATAATTCAATTTTTTTTTATCTTTTATCCAATAGATTTTATCAAATGGATGCATAATAACTTGACATTTAAGACGAATTTCATTTGTATTTGAATTAATTAGAAAAAATTTATTTGATATAATATTATCATTAATAAAAAGACTTATTTCTGGTAGAAATTGTATTGTTAATTGAAATGAACGTGCTACATCAGGTGGATAATCATTACTTGCTACACATTCATAACGACGATTTGTATGACGTGATATATTAAAAATTGTCACTTCATTTTGTTCACTGATAACTAATAAAAAAAAGAAGAAAAGAAATAAGAAGCCTATCGACGATCGAATAGGTCAATCATTATGTATTGTTATTTTATAGACATAAAGAAACCCTGTGATTATACGGCTTGTCAACTGTTCAATTAGACATTATTATTTCAAGAGATTGTTTTTATACAATAAAAAACAATGTTTGATATTTAATCAAGTATAATGAAGAATTTGAATAGTACGACTTACTTTGAATATTATCATATTGATCATATGAAAGTATACGAATACGAGGCGTTGGTTTACCATGTGCATAACATTTTATTGTAAAATTTGAACCTGATCGTATTGGATATGGATATGGTTCAGTTGTTAATTCATCAATAATTTTTGGTGGAACTAAAAAAGTTTTCTTTCAAATAATTTTGATTTAGAAAAATATTTTAATTAATTTACCTTTAACTTCTAATACTAATGTTTTATACATGCCATTATTAATAAAACATCGATAAACTCCAGCATCATCTTCATCAATATCATCAATTTGTAAATTCCATTCTTCAGCATAGGCATGTAATAATGATATTCTTGAATCACCATTAATTGCTCGATCTTCCATTGTTAATATTGAACTATTATTTAATTTCATCCAGATAACCTAATAGAATAAATGTTTACATATTTCTTTGAAAATCATATGTATAAGTCTATTACTTTAAATGAGCCAAGTCCATTATTCTTCATATCTTGTAATGAAACGTAACATGGTAATAATGCTCGTTTACCCACAACAACAGAAACAGTTTCATATGATTGATCAAATTTTGGTAAAGGTTGATCTGTTAAAAGAATATGCAATCATCTTATTTATTATAAGACGAGAGTATGTAAAAATGATTAATGAGAAACATCAGATAAGCATATCGTTTTCTATAATGTTTTATATGATCAAATAAGATTTTGTTAAATATAATTTTTCTTTTCTTATTTTCTTAGACATTCAATTTTTGTTTTTAATCGTACATCTCTTAACAAATATAAAGACATTTTATTATATTCGATGTGTCACATTCACATGAACAATCTTCTTAAGTACAGTTTAATGTTAGTGAGGAGCCATAATGGACACACTTCTTTAACGGACAAACATACTTCAGACAGAAACACTCTTCTGATTTTCTTTTTCATGTTTCATTTATTAAAAAAAAAATAGCTTATCTGTTACTTGTTTCAATGAACTTTCATCAGTTAGTGTAGTTTATGTTTAACTAACAACGGTCATGTCGCCGGTATTAATATAACATCTATTTCCGTTTTTTCATGTATATGTGCTAATCTTCTAGTCACGTTGAGGTGACAAAATCATGCATATACTCTTTCTTTCTTTTGAATCAACTACAGACTCATTCTCATGTTCAATATCGCTTTTAGAATGTTTGTTTGAAATACAAGACAAATCTGGCATATTCCGCTTCTGTTTTAGATGAAATGAGATAGAAGTGATAAAATCAGTCAACAGTTCATATGACCAACTTCTTTAATTCATCAATGTGCATATGTCACATGTTTTTCATAAAACAAACAAGCCAAACTGTCACTATACTCGATAATTATTTGTTGTCTATGAATAAATTTCTTACAACATACCTGACTCAATATCATTAGTTGTAGTTGAAGCGATTGTAATGATTAATAATAAAAATAGTAACATTGGTAAATATGTAAAGAGTTTGTTTTTTCGATGAAGATATATGTATATTATATATAGTTCGTGTGTCTATTTAATTACATTGAAAATGTATTCATGCTTCGTTAAGAAGTAGAAGAGAAAGAGAGAATATGTGGATCCTTCTCTTTATATGTATATTGATGGAACGATTGATGAATGAGACGATGCAAAAGAAGAAAAAGAAAAAAAGAGGCTCGTGCAAGAGAGTGGAGAAAAATGGATGAACTGCTGTTCTCTCTCGCCTCCTGTTTCTTTCGTTCTAACCGTGAGCAACTGAAAAAAAAAATGAGCAATTGATGTTAATGATGATCGGTCTACTACATCATAAAAAAACCAGTAGTTTCTTTGTATCTCTTTCGAATATATTCGACAATGAATTGTAAAAGCTAAAATAAAAAAAATGTGTTATTTCGTTCACTAAATAATTAACGTAAAAAAATAAGTTAATCACTTCTCTTGAGAATACTAATGGTGTCATCAATGTCATAAACATGAAGTATGTGTTAATATAATCATCAATGAACCGTAACATGTTGAACAAGTGTCTTTCTTTAAACTGTTAGTTTAAAATAGCGTCAAAATATTCATTTCTTTTTTCAACATATGGAATAAATGTGAGAAAGACTACAGTTGAAAAAAAAAAGAAAAGCCTTCAAAGATGTTTTTCCTTAAATTATATATCGGTTGAATGATCTTCAAAAAAGAAAAAGAGAATTTTTATCATACATTTGATCTTTCCATATTCACACTTATCAATTTTATAAGTTTATAAGAATAATGAATATAAATATATATATATATATATAATAATTCGATGAACTTTAGAACTACTCATCATTGAATTTATATTAGTAAAATATATGAGAAAGTATTTTGTTGAAAGTGTGATCATCTTACACGAGTGATTAACTTTAGGTGGCAAAAATGAGATAGATCTAGTCACAAGAGAAAGCTTATATTACACTTTACCATATAGACAGCGTAACACATTTTCATTTGACTGATGTGTATAGTAATAATATAAAAAAACTGAAATGAAATTACGTCTAACACATCGATATATGAGAAATGAGCATCTAAATCTGCAATAGATTGATGCAGATATGTTATAGAACAATCAAACAAACAGCTTAAGGAATCGAAAAAAAAAAGAAAATTGAATCATATTAATACTTGATTTATATCGTAGATTTAAGGATAAGATTTTTATATTGAACAAAATATTCTAGATCGATTCTTTTTTGCTCTCTTCATGCAAGAATCAATTTCAAGTAGATAAATGTGTTCAATTTTTTTTATAGCGATTATATAAATGTTAGATGTAGATGTTCAATTATGGATATAGAAATTTTTAAATACAAAAAAAAAGAAATGCATTACGTCATGGTCTTCTGTATCTAATGAAAATTCAGTGTTGTTCCTTAGAGAAAACATTCACTTAAAGTACTTTTTATAATTATATATAGAATAAATTTAATTCTATCATTTCTATTCATTCCATATTATGTTTAAAGTAGATATCATTAATGTTTGCCATCAATAGATCAAATCACTACAAGACAATATGCATACTATTAGATTATCACTCTATGGATATGAATCTTAATATTTTCAAAATGTTACAATTTTCTTAAAACATGAATGTGCCAAGATTTATTGTGTTATAATCATGATAATTCAATTTACACCGTAGCTTTAGATATATATCATTGTCTAAATGATATTTGCAGAGTAAATCATGTTCGAGTTTAGTAGAAAATAAAACTCTAGTTCGATGCTCATCACAATAGATTCTTTTGGTTTTATAACGAATTTATGAGAAATTGACAAACTAATTTGAAACATTTTTGAGCTATAAAAATATTAATGATGAATGAAATTCTTCTAGAATGATGTTCTTTCATATTTATATTATGTCGATGTTCAAAAGTAGTATTATAATAGTGAAGTATTTTAAATCAAATTTTATTCGTAGCTTAAAAGTATATTCAATATTGTGGTTACTACCACCTAATAATATTAGAAAACATAATTAATATTATATTAGACAAGGATGAACTCAAGAGAACGTATCAAATTACACTATTACGTAGAAATTTTTTGGTTTTGCCTGTCATTTTTTTTCTTCCAAAATAGAGTCATATTTTAACTATTGAAATAAAATAAACTAATGATTCATTTACCGTTAGTTTATTCTTGAAACCCATCAGTGTTTATGAAAAACTCAACAAGCAAGAACTTTACTTCAAATCAGTTTTCTGTTCAGAAATGCAGTTCGATGACTATCAAAGATCTACTTGGCAGTACCTTAAATTGACAAATTGTTTTGATTTTCAATTCTGGTAAATACGAAAGAATACATATGAATTTAAACTCAATCCACCATCTATCACCAGTCTTTATTATTGGAATAAAAAGAAAACAGCCTAATACCATACGCGAAAACAAACATATGACTAGCGTTCTTGTTTTAAATTTCAATATAAAAGAAAAAGATTATTTAGGATCTGTTGTTTCTGAAACACATTTATCCATAAATTGAGCCATTTGTGCATCGTGTGTTGATAGACCATTTAAATCATGTGTAGTTAATGTAACTTGAACTTTATTATAAACATTAAACCATTCTGGATGATGATCAAGTTTCTCGGCTAATAAAGCAACACGTGTCATAAATCCAAAAGCTTGATTAAAATTTTTAAATAAAAATGTTTTTGATAAAGCATCACGATTATCAACTAATGTCCATCCATTTTTTTCTAATTGTTTTAATGTATCATTTCGTTGATCACCTTCAAGTTTTGCTCGCATTTTCTTTCGATTTATATTTGTTGCTAAACCGTTCGAATATTTGTTTAATCTAGAAGATTTTAATGGATGGAATAATTTTAAAAGACGTACATAATCACGATTAATAACAAAAGACATGTGTACCGTGTTTTTTTTCTGTTTGTCTGTCTGAAAACAAAAAGAAATGAATTATTTGACACTAACAATATCTATGTATGTATATATCTGATTTAAACAAGAACAAAAACAAAAAGAAATAAAACTAAAGTCTATTTTCATTTGTTAACGTTGAAGTACAGCTTTAATAAAATCTTCATAAACAATCATTCCTTGTTTATCTTCAAATTCATAAATTAATTGTTCAACTTCATCATCTGTTAATCGTTCACCTAAATATGAAAACAAAACAAAAAAGAATTCAATAAAATTATTCTCGATATATTTTCTATTTACCTAATGTTGTTAATAAATGACGTAATTCTGTTGCTGGTATTAGACCATTTCCGTCTTTATCAAAAACACGTAAACCATCAACAAATTCATCTGCAGGTGCAACACATTCTTTTTGTCGACTTAAACGTTCGAACATAACTTGAAATTGTTGCATTGATAAACGTTCAACTCGATTAAGATCATTAAGAAGTAAACGTATTTCGGCTTCAGTTGGATTAAGTCCTAATGCTCGAACAGCTTCACCTAAATAATGTTTTGGAATATGATCATCACCACGATCATCGTATAAACTAAAGACTAAAAAAAAACAATGAAAAATTAGGATATATTTTTATTTTATTTATTGAAGAATTGTTACCATCACGAATATCGGCTGAAATGTCGTCTGTCAGACCAGGCATATTGTTAATAAAGTAAAAAGAATCTGAAGAGATTCGTTCTTTTTGTGTGTGTGTGTGTGTGTTAAAGTAAGTAAATATGAAAAGAAGAGTAGAGCATGACCTATTGACTTGGCTACTTAGAATGATTCTTTCTTTTTGAATAGAACAGACATACAATTGCGCAGCTGTCGCACAACGAATGGTAATCAGTAATCAATGGATGTCACTGATGAATAGTGTTCAAACGAGAAATCAACCGTTCTGATTTCAAGTTCTTACATAATATTGAGAATAATTTAATGCAAAAAAAAAGCAATAAATTTAGTTAAAGAACTATGATATTTACAAATTTTGTTTAAGATTTTTTTTTTTATTAAAAAATAACTATAAAATTTTTTCTTTTGATGGAAATTGTATATTATTAACATTTAAAAGACTCTATACGTCTATTTGAAATGAAAATTTATTTTTTATCAAGGTTAAATGAATGTCGCTCATATTCATGTTAGCTTTCATCTCGAATGTGACTAATATGTGAAAAATATAATATAATTTTTTTGTACTGTTTTAAGAATAGAATAGATTGTAAACAACATGTTGTGTTTATACGTAAGTCTATGATATCATTATAAGAAATTGTGTCGCACTGACATTATAGCATATTAATCTAACACAATTTTTTTTCTCAGACTCTCTTTTTCAGAAAGGTGATTATCTATTTTTGGTAACACAGACACATACTTTGTCATGCAATAATTCTAAAGCCCGGAAGGGTCAATTCAATCTTCGGAGAGGTCGCATTGTTTCGGTCCCATTCTGGAAAAAATATTGACCCTACATAATTAAAAGGAATTAATATTATATGAATTTAACTTTGTACATTAATAATTGATAATGAGTGAAATTGACTTCGTTTAATATTCGTCTTGAAATATTCTTTTAGCTTTAATCATCAATGTGCCGATGATAGAGCGTATTATTTTACAATTCTTTTTATTTATTTTTTCTTTCTCTTTATATTTTCTTCAATCTAGGCATTACTGGTAAGCTGAATATCTTGTCATCAATGTAATTGTTAAGCTAAAATTATACGATATCATGAATTTCATTCTTCTAATACTTGTTGAAGAAAGTCATGTATTGAAACTGTCATATTATCCGCTTAATGTAAGAGTAAGTACAAGTAATTAAAGTAGGATATACCTGATTCTAGGTTTTTTTGTACTCCCATGTATTGAGTTTTATGGACTTTATAAGCAAAAATTGAAGGACAAACTATACGATTAAAAAATTGCTTCTGTACTCAGTACTTCATAATTTCGGGCCTTAGGCACAGCAAAAAAAGACAAAGCAAAAGAAATCAATCAAAGTGAAGTATATTAATGCATATAGCGCAAATTTTCAGGACTATTTTATTTAAACTTCAACGATTACAAAATTTCGAATTTTCATAGATGAAACATTGGTATTTGCAAGAGAGTTGTTGCTCAAAGCACTGCAATTGTGTGTTATACTTATGAGACATGAATTTCAGCATTTAAAATAACTTATGTAGAAAACTTGCTCTGAATGCATCAATATAGTATCATTCATAAAGTTTGCTTTGACTTCATCTTGTTATTTTCTTAGATGATAACTGAAAATTTTCTATGAAATGCTTCATATATATTTTTCTTACATGATAAACAGGTGAAATTTGTTTAGTAAGACTAAAAATATAACGTGATAGAAGTATTTGTTTACGATATCCACATGAAAGAAAAGCTTCAAATAAGCTTCTGCACACTAATCAAGAATCAGTCTATTCGAGCGAACCGAAGCGGAGATATTTGAACTTTTTTATCGTTGTGCTATTTTCGACTTCAGTATTTCCTCGACTACGATGACATGAACTATTCGTTCTATTCTAAAGATGCTCTCTTATGATCACCTTCAACCTGAGTATCACTCTTACAATTACCCTTATCTTTTCTGATTTCAGATTTCTTAGCTATTTTTGAAATGATTGGATTCAAAAGAGTTTTGACACATAGATTCGAAAATTGGTACAAATTTGAAATTTACTACTCGTTGATTTTCAATCAATGAGTTCACAGGTTTATTAATTACACACACATACACTTAACAACAATAAACATTCCAAAAAAAGCAAACAACATATTTATATAAAAGTTAAATATTAAATCTGATGTCAATATATGATTGTTTGTTTGAAACAAATTGAAATCTTTTATAAAACATTATGTTCATTATTTGTATAATGATTTTCAATATTTCATAAAAATATTCATTGATTTTACTTTTTTAAATGGTTGAAAATCTTTTTTTCTTTGTGTTTATTAATGATGTATGATAAAAAACTTGATTATTAATTTTATTATTTGGTGTTAATGTTTGGACCAAGTTTTTTTTCGAGTTTTTATTTTTTTGATTTGTTAATGAATGATGATAAAAATGATATAATTGTGTATCATAATTGTTTGTTCTATTATTTGTTAATTGTTGTTGTTGTTGTTGTTGTTGATAAATATTATTTGATAAATTTGTTAAAATAAATGATGTACGATCAAGTGACATTATACGTGAACGTTGATAAGAACTTACTTCATGATTTGAACATGAACGACAAATGATTTGTCGACATGTACGAGCAAATTTTTCAGATAAAAAACAATAAAGTATAAAATCAATTGAAGCATTTATACAAAGAAATAAATTTGCAAAATTATTAAAAATAAGTAATATAATTCGACGTTCCGATGACATTTCTGTATAACTTTCAATTAATGTTTCATATGTTAATGATAAACTTTGAGGAGTCCATAATAATAATGCAACAAATAAACAACATATTAATACAATTGTTACTTTACGTTTTTGAATATAAGAACGACTATGACGACGTAAAGAAAATGAATAAGAATTTTTTAGTGAAATATTTGATGGATATAAAATTGATGTTTTACGATAATTATTTGTTGAATAGTCAGCTTTATTTAATGGTAATAATGATGAATGAGAAAATGTATTGTAGACAGCTGTTAATTGTCGATGATCATCAAAACGACGAGAATGATGAACATACCTTTTTATTTAAAGAAATAAAAGAAAATTTGATAGTTAAGTTGATGTATATCTTGATCTGAAATTGTTTAGATTAAACAAAGTTGATTTTGTTTTCATAAAAATAATTCTATGAATTATACTTTGCTAATAATAGAATTACTATTTTAAAATCTCATTCTTATTTCGCAGATAATATTACCAGAAATTTATACTTTATAAAAAAAAGGAGATCTATACATGAATAGAATATGGATGATTGTTTATCTTGTAAGTATTTATAAACAGGGCTGATGGAAGGTGACCTACAAGAACATTTTATGATTATTTTATTAGAATAAAAACTAAATAGAAATGATATTTTTAGTATCTAGGATGAGTTATAAATAATACTGGGATTAAAAAATTTTAATATCTCTGCTTCGGTTCATTGAAATGGACTGTTTTTTTTTGATCGGTGAAGAAGCTTATTGAAAGTTAAACAAACATTATGAAAGATCTTACAGTAATGTACATAGAGTAAAGTTTCATGGACTAATTAGTTTAAATTCGTACGCGATAACTTAAACACTCAAGTGAAGCTAGCGCAGACGCCACAGAGACTTCTGTCTCAGTCTTCTGAAGTCTAGAAGTGTGCTGTTTTCTCATCAACTGAAGCTCTTTAGACATAAAATATTACAACTGTTAACTTTTAAATGTACTAATCATAACAATTCACTCTATGTAACTCACTTTAATACCATTCATAGAGTTTGTTTGGATTTCTTGTTTTTATTCTTTTAGATAATAACTGAAAATTATCATGAAGTGCAAAGTTTCTACATACATACGGTCAGTGTCGTTAATAGTTAAACTTTTGCGTCAGTATAATATAAAACGAGGAGCGTATCCAATTAATATACCTATCAGATATATAAATTTTAGTTCGAATGGAATATACTTAGGTCTGACCAAAAGTTCCCAGATTGTTATTGGCAATTTTATAAACGAATTAATATCGAAGAGTGTTGTGCATGGATAAATAGTGGAATGTCTTATCTATAATAGTATATATAGCAAATCTCTTTTGGACTTAGTTATAGTATTTTTTTCGATAAACTTTAATTCGAACTAAAAAAAAATTTTCAAAAATGGATAATGAATACCATCGATATTATATAAAAATTCGAACTATTTCGGGGAATAAATCCAAAGACGATTCGCGAAGAACTTGCAACAGCTTTGGGATCCAAGGCTCCATCATATTCAACAGTTGCAGAATGGGCAAAGCGTTTCCATGAAGGAAGAGAAGATGTCAATAATGATCCTCGATCTGGTCGTCCAGTATCCGAGCTGACAGATGAAAATATTGAACTAGTACGAGAGGTTATCAACAATGATCGACATTCAACTTATGATGATATCATAGCTGAGACATTTCTCTCTCATGGTAAGGCAGATTCATCGCAAGTCAACAAATGCAAGCTGGGTTGGCGAAGATGAATCACCAACTACTATTGTTCGTCGAGGTAAATTTGAATCAAAAAATTTATTTTCTATTTTCTTTAAATCAAATGGCCCTGTTCTTATACATGCTGTTAACGAAGACAAGACTATAGATCACAACTATTATATTGAAAATTGCCTCAAGCCTGTCGTGAAGGAAATATGGAAACAAAGAAAGTCAGCAGGTACAAAGGTATAAAATTGCTCCAAGACAATGCTCGACCCCATATTCATTCCGATGTTATTAATTATTTAACAGAAGAAGGTATCATTATAATGTCGCATCCACCATATTCACCTGATCTTGCACCATGTGATTATTGGCTAAATGATTACATCAAACGTAATTTAACTGATCAACCAGATGAAAAATCATTGGCTCGTGGTGTATCCAAGGTGATGAAAAAAAATTCCGAAAGAAGAATTTAAAAAAACTTTTGACAAACTATTAGAAAGGATGGAACTTTGTATAAATAATCATGGTGACTATTTTGAACATTTAATAAAATAAAACTTGAACTTTCTCTTTATCTTTATATTTTTTTTAATAATCTGGGAAATTTTGGTCAGACCTAAGTAAAGTTTTGGAGAGTCCAAGGATTTTTCCAGGGCTGTATTTAATTAATTTACATCAGAAAAAAAATGTAAAATTTCTTTGGATTGATGTTTTTTAGAAAAGTATGCAAATCATTCTGTAACATAACTTTGTTGTTTATGAATTATTTGTCCTGTTATTCCTTTAGAAGAGATTAAAAGAACAAACCGATGCGCAGAAAAGTTTCATATAGTCTTTTATTTGATCTTATAGGTTTCTTTTCTAGAGATCGTCTACATCAAACGAAAAAAATAGAATCATATTAAATATTTACTTATTTCTTTCTAAAATTATCTTGCTAATAAAAACTTATACTTAAATTATATACGAATATATTTTCATATAAGACAAACAATTCTAAAAAACCTTCATTCTCATGCATTCGAAATTTAATATGAATCTTTTTGTTTGCAACTTTCTGTATAGATAGAGATATGCAGTGTTGATGTAAATACTGTCAATGAATCAACCATACGAGGTCCATTATGACACTGACTACACTGGTATCCATATTTGTTGCAACATTGAGACACCAGCCGTGCCAGGATATACCCTTTTTTCTAGCAACGTGTTGCAATGCTTCAGTGACATCAGTGGGCAGTAAAGTGATACTGCATATTCCTATGCATAGGGCAGAAAAAATGATTAAGATATATGAAATATTAATTAATAGAGTGCATATACATTTTTATGTCAATTTACTATTGGAGATCTATTTTTTGTCCAATTTGTGTAATTATATGCTATCTGACAATAGTACAAGTTTGTTCGTATTGATATTTTAAATCAGCCAATGAACATATATTTAAGTTAAAAATAAATGTTTTCGCAAATTCAATAAATGCTAAAATTAAATATAAATTCACTTTTACAATTTTTCATTTAGAAAATCTCTTTAGAATATACTATATTTAGAGCAAAATTACAAAATGCAAATACTTAGAAAGGCTATCTTTAAGAATATATACCTAATAATAATTTTTTTCATCAACATTTTTATATTTGAAAAGAAGTCATACTAAGCTGTTAGAAATGTTAATAAGAAATCTCGATTAAGAAAATCCTTCGTGATATTTTAAAAAAAACAAGATAATTAAGATTTCACTAGTTTTCTTCTCAACTTACCATATTAGAATTGAATTACAGACACAAAGTAAAATAAGTGGTATCCATATAATAATAACACAAATAAATACTAAATATAAACGATGCAGTATAACAAAAACTTCTTGTTGCTTTCTTAAATTTATATTTTGTGTTATGTTAAAAGTAATATTCTCATTTTCGATATCATTCACCTCAGGTATAAAACTATTTTCAAAATAAGTTGGTAGTGTTATTAATAAACATATTATTAATAATGTACATATAACATGACGTGATCGTCGTACTGAACATGTACGTTTAGCATAAATAGGTTTTGCTACAGCCAATGTACGTTCAAGAGTGAAACAAACAATTAACCATGTTGCTGTATTTGAACTGAAATCAGCTAAAGGACGTAGAAGAAATAATAACGTATGTGTAAATGCACTTTGAGAAAAAGTTGGATGTGAACCAAAATTAAGTATAAGTGTAAATATTAAATAACATGAATCAAATGCAGCTAATATTGTTAAATAATTATTTGTACTTGTTCGTATAAGACGACGTCGTGTTAAAACAAGTATTGATAAACAATTACCAGTTAAACCAAATAAAACAAATAATGGCCATATATAAAATTTCACAATAAGACGTACATGTGTTAAAAGTAAAAAATTTCTTTCTATTAATGTAGTATTATCAACTATGTAATTGTTAAACATTGTTTATAAAAAAAAACTTATCTAAATTATAAGAGAATCATCGAAACAATTATATTTATAAGGAAAAAAAAGAAAGATTTTCTTAATTAGTTTTATTCTATACGAAACAAAAACATGTCTCTTATTAATTCTAAATTCTTATAATAAAAAATAGTCCTAGACATTTCAATTGCTATTCTTAAGACATATAATTAATAATCCGGTATTTGGTGACTCAAAGACAAATATTTATCAATACTAAATAAAAATATGTAATTTTCATTTATTGTCATATACTAACCTGTTTGATAACGAAGAGATGCAAATCGTATATACATATGCCTACTAATATTCAAATTCTTTGTTGGCCACAATAATAAGCAAATGTATATAAAACAAAAATGGAAAAGAATTAGAATAAGTATTGAAACAAAAGGAAAAAAACAGCATGTCATTGTTGAAATCCATGCTTATGTGAATTAATTAAAATAAATTATTTTTACCATCGATCTATTCACACTCGTATGCCAATTGACTGAATAATTACTGAGAATATAACTAAATTTATTCTTCTACGAACAAAATGAAGGAAGCTAAATTGTTTTCTTATTGAATCCAATAGAAAATCTCGATTTTGTTACTTGCATACTAATATCAAACATCTTAACTTGTATCGAAAAAATCAATAATTAATGATGATGAATACATGGAACTATAAAGTAACTTCTACTTACTGATTATTAACAATTCTGTTGGCATCAATAATAGCTCATATTATTTACAGGAACTTATCCTTAAATAATTTTGTCTAGAGAAATGCTTAAAATAAAATCCATCTTCAAAGTAAGAATAGATTAATCAGTGAAACATTGTTATAAAGATAGAGAAAAGACGCAAAAGAATCTAGATAGTACTATGTTACATCTTAACATGTATTACAAATTTAATAGCATGGAAGTGTAGATTTATTATTGTTATTTATATATTATTATGAATAGAATCATATGTTACTCGAATTTTTTTGACAGATACGTTAAGTTTGCATTACATATGCAGAAAATATTTCTTTCAAAAAAATAAGAATCATTTATCTTCTTGAAATTTTATTAAATGAAAATAAATAATAAATTCCAGTTGAGAAGGAAGTAAACAAAAGTGCTGACATAATGATTAGCGCCTACGCACTGACATAGCAAATATTTCAATGTTGACTAGGTTTACTATTACTTTTTCTTTAGGTAAGAAAGTTCAGGAAACTTTTTATAGAATTACATTGTTCTCACACATATTTGTAACTACGCATATTTGTAATATGATGCATTTGGTATAACTTGTTACTTTTATCTAACTATATTTTATTATAACGGATATCCTGTCAATCCATTACATACTTGAATGAATTTGTATAATACTTGAATGAATTTGTATAATACTTGAATGATTTGAGCATTCTTTTGAATATAGTATTAAAACTAATCTAAGATAATTTGCTTCTTTATTGAAAATGATTGAAATTCAACCGATTAATTATGCACACCAAGATTTGTAAAACTTTTTATAAGATGTCGATTGTAAATCCAAGAACAGAAAAAAAATTTCTTTCTATTGGCTTATTAGAGCTTCACATTTCATGTGATAGGAACAATTAAAAGTTGTACGAGGTGCAATTTTGAATTATTTACAATTTTATAAAATGTTCGTTTTTGTGTACTCAAAAAGTGAGTACACTCTAGAATCGGTCAGTGTGTCCGTCCGTTTACACGATAACTTTTGAAAGGAGAGTCCAATCACGATGAAATTTTCCACACAGTTCAGTCTTAACAATGTCTCGGTCGAGTTCGAAGATGAGCAGGATCCATCAAGAAATGGCTGAGTTATCGAAAAAATTGTCATTATTGAGAAGACCATCCCTGAGGGGGGGTACAGGGATTTTTTCAAAAAAAAAAATTTTTCCCACAATTATCCACAACATATATAAATCGACTCAGTTTTTAACGCTGATTCCGAATTTGATATTAGTTTTGAACCAAATCGTAGCTTTCTAACAAAACATCCCCTGAAAAAGGTCTCAAAATGCAGAAAAGCTGCATGCAAAAAGCAAATTGCCTAGATATGTCTCAGTTGATAAAAAACAAAGTGAATATACCTCTTCAGTTTTTGAAGTACACATAACACTCGGATTTAAATTCGAGGTTTTCGCATTTATTTTACATTGGATCTGATTATTTTACTAAAGATCATTGAGTACAAGATCTAGTGAAAATGGTAGAGGTCAAATCTACACTCATATTTCCTTATATTACAAATTAATAACATATAGAGTATTTAACGGTACGATAATTGTGACAAAATTTTTCACTCAGTGACTCGTTTTATCTTTATATTTCATTTGTAACAGACTCTAGCCAATTTTTTTTCAATGCTAAGTACTAATCTTTAGTTCAAATAAATGTTGATGAAGAATTTCTTTTTAATCATGCATCATTACCAATTCAAATGGGATTCGTTAATATATGATTACTTGGCTATGAGAAATTCATATTTCGTCAGTAATGACGAATGAAACATAACGCATTGGACCAAGTGTAAATGTAATTTTTATTCTCATTTAAGCTAATACAAAATATTTATTCACATACCAAAAGAAGAGGATTTCAAGCTTTACTAAACTAAGATAGTCACTTTTAGAAAGAATATTTTTCCTTTACACAAACAATTTACTCGTGCTTTTCAAAAAGTATGGAGGATCTCGAAAGCAAAGAATGTTATATTAAACGACGAAGAATTTCACCTTGTATTTAACTGATTCATTTTCGGATATTCAAGCTTAGCTATGGTGTTGAAAACTTCTTCAAAATATTCTGCTTAGTAAGTTTTTAAAGAATAAAGTTTTGTGTTTGAGTTAAAGTTCAGTTGCGAAATTCTTATTTGCATAGTGAAAAAATTACGGATTTCATTTTTTTATGAGATTACGTGGTTTTCGAACTACAGGACAATATGTTTTCAGCTAAATGCACGAAAAATCGAACAGGCTCCACAATGGATATAAAATTTTGTTTATTTTCACAATAGGAATAAACATTTCTATAGTCTCTAATTCAAATATCTTTATTTACGAAAATAAAAACTATCTTTTTCGGTTTTAAGCGAATATACTCTATCTCTGAGAAATTTGAACGATTTTAAATAACAGAATAATATCTATTCTAGTTCGCTCTATCTTTTTTCTCTGTTTTCTATTAGAGTTTTCTAGTTCTGCTCTGAAAAAAAGTTCAAATGTATAAGTATATTGAAAAAACGATAGAGAATTGTAACTTTTTCTTAATTGAACCTATAATTATTAGTAGAAATTCTCTCAAACTGTTTCCATTTTAAAAGTTATATTGAACATTGTTTGAGTACTGTCCATTTGCTTCTGCGTACATAATTATTTTTGTTGTCAAAAGAATCGACTATTTTAAAAATCGATAAAAAATATTTACGTTAATTTCTTCTCAGAGTTAATCTATTTCAAATAATAGACAAGTGATGGCGTATTACGTAGTTTTTATATATTTGAATATTGGAATTAATTAAGGAAAATCAATCTCATCTTTATAAAGCTTGTTTCTTTCTTTACTTAAATTATTCAAGGACAACAAGTATTCTTCATTGAATAATAATATATATGAAATCTTATCTATTATTACATATTTCTTCCCACGTGTTTCAACACGAATTAACTTCCGATTAGCATAGACCAATTTGATTGTTATTGTACGAAGTATATACGATGACTTTTAATGTCTGGAGTGAAAAAGGAAAATTGATAGTTCTAAATATGTATAAAAATAAAGAAAAGAGAGAGAACACTTACGAGGGAACCTTTTCAGATGACACCCTCCGTTTTGATTCGTTCGTATCTCATTTAATTGAGTATATTGATGTAGTAAAAATCCTAAAGGAATTTTTCCCCAATGTTCTTCCTTCAAAAGTTATGGTCGTTTTATTGAATTTTCGACCCATTCCCAGGTATTTACGAAAAAATCAAAATAGGAAATTTCGACTTGATATTTCGCCCATAGATAGGCCGAATGGTCCTTAGAATATCCTGAAAGTTTCAGCTAAAAGGAATGTTCCTTCCTTGAGATATTGAATTTTCAAAAAATAGTCATTTGTCACAGATTGGTCACAAAAACCGAGTTCACTTGAAAATTCAATATCTCAAGAAAGGAACCTTCTTTTTAGCTGAAACTTTCAGAATATTCTAAGAGCCATTATATCTAACTATGGGCGAAAT